TGAATCTAACTAGCTTCCCAAAGGTTCAAAGCAACCCGTATCATTTCGTCTCTGACTCCAACAGAGAATAAGTTTATATTGGTTCCCTTAAATTCAGATGCAATGCCGACCTTGGTTAAGTCCAGGGACAAAAAGAAACTCGATGGAATTGTGATCAGATTTTAGTAAAGCTTTCAAAACACTGCTTCGTAGGCCTTAACACGGATTTTGGAATCAAGAGAGACCTGACTGACTTAATCAAATAATCCCAATGTATAAGTGTAATGGAGAGATTCAGCATCTACTCGAAACTCTCATCCGCGACAATGTTGCATAATGGTAAAGTATTGTACTCTACTCCTTCTTATTTATCGTCTATGATGACAAAATGCCTGTTTTCGCTAGACCACCTATGGGTCCTTACACCAATGACCCAGAAATTAAGAGGAAGCTTGAGTATGATGCTGCCGGCTTACGTCCCTAGGAAAGCTCAAGAATCTATTAGATTGGTTCAAAAATTGATGCTTACATCAATGTAATGAAGTATGCAGCCATGGGCATCGGGTACGTGGGTATCATTATAGAGAGAATATTACCCTCTTCATCTCAGACGCACACAGATATAGGTGTCACCGTGAGTCATGAATCTAAAAAACAACACACTTTTGCTCAAATAGTGCTTGCAGTCTTAGATCCTTATGGCCAATATATACGGTCTCTACTGGGACGATAAGTGAAGAGATCACGTTTATATACTTCCCTATTCAGGTTAAAACCGGCAAACTGCACCTCACTCTCGCCCCGATTGGGAGTCATATATCCTAGATAAAATTCAAAGGAAGGCCATACGTACGGTTCGTGTTATGTGCAATTTATAATGAGACGAAAGACAACATATCAAATCTCTGATGTTACCGCTGATAGAGAGGAGATACAATCAAGATGTTCAAAAGTCCAAGAAATGACCATGGATGTGGCCGTTCTTCTTTTTTTCCCTCCACCAGGTCAGCAAATCTCAAAGGACATGTCGGAACTATTCAAAATATTCGGTAGAACAATACCATTGTGAAGTACTGGCTTTCCCACTGAAACATGTACTGACTCTTAGAAGATGAAGGTTTTGGGCAGTCGATTAGAAGGGCACATATTACTATCCAAAAAAATTAGAATGGGGATGATGTCTTTCGAGGCAGTCCTTCAAACATTTGGAAACTTTTCAATAAACTTACAAGTAAAAAACAAATGTCTGTTGATGCTTATTCTGATGTTAATGCTTTAAACAAATCATTTATCATGAAACAAATTAATATGGTTGTACCTGATTTACCTAGTCAAGATAATGGTAATTTTCCGGGTTTTAAAGAAGAGGATGTACTATTATGTTTGAAATCTTTAAATCCAACACACAGCCTTGGTCCAGATGGTGTACCAGGCATTCTTCTTCAAAAGTGTGCAGACATCTTGTGTCATCCTCTTACTCAAATCTTTAATGCATCATTCAACAAGGAAACGGTACCTTCTGACTGGAAAGAAATCAAGGTTGTACCTGTACAGAAATCATCATCTGGAGCAGGTATAAAGTTTAGACCGGTCGCTATAACATCTCCTTTTTTGAAAACTATGGAGAAACTTCTTTTGAATACTCTTAAACCTTCTTTAAAAGCTTTTAGTGACCCTAAGCAGTTTGCTTATAAGTGTGGAAGAAGTACATTAGATGCAGCCATTGTACTACACCACAATATTGTTTCCTGCCTTGATAAGGGTGCTAAGTTCGTTCGAACAGCTTTTTTAGACTATACTGCAGCTTTCGACTCTGTTCCTAGGACACTTTCATTAGGAAAGATGATTTCAGCACAAACAGAGTCCTGGGCAACTAGATGGTTGTCTTCTTATTTTAAGGATAGGAAACAGCATACTGTTTTGGCTGGAAAGCGCTCCACTTCTCAGCTAACTGAAAGTGGTGTGCCTCAAGGAGCAGTACTTTCTCCATTTCTTTTCTCTTTCTTTTTGCATGACCTCCCGAACTCACCCAACGTTAACTTCATTAAGTATGCTGATGATCTGACCGTTTCTGTCCCTGTAGTTTCCACATTGGATTGTTCCCATATGAATGGCTTCTTAGCTGAAGACAAGGATTGGTCTAGCTCAAATGGTCTTAAACTAAATCCAACTAAATGTAATACTGTTGATTTCAGCTTGAGAAGTGAAAAAGACATGCATGGATTGATCCAATCTCATGATCGTTGTAATATTGATGGTATCATGATAGAGAGTAAGTCAAGTGTTTCTTATCTTGGCATTAGTTTCTCTTCAAACCTTTGCTGGTCGTCTCATATTCTTATAGTTTCTACGAAAGTTTTCCGTCTGACTTATTACATTAAGAAGTTGAGGCACTCAGGTATAACCCAATCTCTTCTCATACAATTTATTAATTCATGTGTTTTGCCCATTATTCTTTATTGTTCCCCATTATTCTTCCCTGGGCTACTCAAAAAAGACCATATAATACTACGAAGAACATTGAGGGCTGTAAGTAGGGTCAGTGCTATCCCTTTGACTCAACTAACCGACACTGTTGTCAATAGGCATATGAATTCTTGTAAACACTTACCTAAAGTTATCTTGTCTGATAGTGAACATCCTCTTTATTCACAATTGTTTCCTTGTATCTCTTCGGGTAAAACCAGAAGAAATTTCATAAACATTTATGCTCGTACTACAAAATATAAAAATTCAACCGTACCATATTTGGCACGAGTATTGTGTGAAGAGACGAATATCAGAAAAGAACTTTTACAACTTTTAAATCATTAACTAAACTATAAAATGTAATGATGCATATTATTGCATGTGTGATTTGTTATATTATTTATTTATTATTCACTATGACCTAGAAATGGTGTATTTTGTTGGAGTTTTTTATTTTTCCTATTAACTATTAATATTTTTAAAGTTTTATACATTTATATAATTATAAAAAGAGCTAAACCAATGCAATATGTAAAATGAAACGCTGAAAATTCCATGCTGTAAATTGTTATCGTTGTGGAATAAAGTGATTATTATTATTATTTTATACTCAACCAAAAACATCAACCGAAGTACATATGAATTCACTAAATTTGATACAAAGTCACATTCTTTAACCTTTTCTTCCTATCTAAGCCCAGAAAACAACAGCAAAAACGGGGCAATATCGCCTTCCTATTGCGTTTTCTTTGCCTGTCAACAAGTTGATTGACATCCTCCCTATAACCACTTCTGAGTAATATTGAATGTTTGAATGCTGGTGCAACCTTGACGGCTTTTTGACTGCGCATGTGATTGCGAAATGGAGAAACTTTCTCGTGTACATACCGGCTCCTTTGACTTTTTAGTGAAAGAAGGTTTAACTAGACTAGTCAAGGTACTCTAAATTTAAAAATTCTCACCTTATACCTGAAGCATTTGCAGCCACTGGAATTTCGCGCTGGTGATAATGTTATTGAACTCAAAGTACAGGTATATTTACTTCTTTCGTTAGGTTTGATTAGCGAAGTTTATAGAAGTATCCACTCCTGTCAATTCAGACAATAAGGCCTCTCTTCTATACCCTAGTGAGGTGAGTTTGTACTGGTTTCCATGTCAATTTGTTTAGTGTCGGAGAGCTGGACTGACGTATGGTGGTGAATTGAAGTTGAGCGTCCGTGTATCTTTGAACGGCACAGCTTTGGGTGTTGTGGATGTTCCATGTGGAGTCTTACCCGTCATGGTCATGTCTCGGTCATGCAATTTATTCTCCCTACCGCGGTCTCAGTTTTATTTGCACAGGGAAGAGTACAAAGAGATTGGAGGATATTTCATAGTTAACGGAAAGGAGCGTGTTATAAGACTTCTAATTATGGCGAGAAGAAATTTTGTAAGCCTTCATTTTCTGCTAATGTGGTTAATAGCCTCTTGCCATTTGCAGACCATCTTTTAAGAAGCGTGGACATGGGTACACTGAGCGTGCCATTGTAATGAGATGCGTACGAGAAGATGAATCTGTTTCGGTGAGTTAAAATATGCTTAAGCTAATCCTTTTCTGAGTTCATTTACAATGGATTTTTAATGTACTTCAAATCTAAACAGTCCGTCACTTCGTTTTGTAAACATGATATTGCTTTATTCAATTTACTAAAACTGTATCTCACTGCGAATTGTATTGTGAAAGGAACCACGATGCAAGGCTGCATGTGATGAATATTCTTACAGGAATCTCTGCAAATATTACGAGATCTGAATTAATTTGACGGTAAATATTGAGTCAAAGTGAAAAAACTCTCTTCCATTGCTAAAATCTTAAGGTGGGATATTTGTAAACTTTCCAGTTACGAACTAGTCAAGTGTTTGCACGCCGTTTATGTTAGTCATATGTTGCATTACTGTTATATTCTTCGAATTGTGTGTACAAATTAAAATCACATCATTCTGGTGTTCATTTCTGCTGGGTTGCACTCGTCATTGACATCTATTAAGTGCACAGTAAATTATCTTTTTTATTGCACTGAAGTAGCTCTCTCTTTCTAATAATGACCTACCAATTGTGCTGGTTATATGGCCCTTGGCTATGAGTTCCTTATGGTAGTAATTCGCAGTAGTGTCTTAAAAGTACTCCAATAAAACATTTCAAGAAATATCGATTACACCTTCAGGTGACGCTGAAAGACTAGGTTAAGCACCGATGAAGATTGCCCCTATCATTCCCCATACACTGGTTGACTACGGTACTCTTGTTCTCACTACTATTAAGATCGATCTCTGAAGCTGTTATACAGCGGTCAAATCAGACAGTAACAGTATTAGCCCTGCATAGTATCTAAATTTTACGCTTAATTGGTTGATGAAAAAGTTTACTCTCTCCTTGAAATGCCTTCCTTAAGTCGCCGTTTCCACGTTTCTATACAACCCAATGCATTTTAGATTTTGATGCTTCACTGGCTTATGAATGGTGAACCAGCCTTAGCATTCATCGTCGAACGTGAACAATTTCTAGTGCCTATCTCCATTATATTACGAGTAAGTTCCTACTTTTTCTTGTTTCGAAAAACGTTTCTAAATTATGATGATAAATAACCCCATTGTTATTGTGACATGTATCAGTTTTAAAAAAATTTTGTCAAGGTATTTCAATTTTCCTGTCACCAGATACTTTGAAATGTCAGGTTTTCATGATCATAAGTCATCATTTTTCTGTAGACAACAGCGTTAAGGATGCTTAGTTACTTTATTTTTCAACTATGTGTTTGGCAATTCAACCTAGCATTGGATTGCTTTATAGAAATAGACGAGTGGTTCATTCCAAAAAGTCTTTGAAAATGTTTAGCTTCATTTGTATACTTTAGGGGAAATTTTCGTGATGCATGATATGCACTTCTCAACTTATTGGGTGTAAAATAAAGCACTAAAACCAATCTTCGTTGATATGAGATTTTAAATTAGGCTTTGAAAAGTTTATTTTTTGCCGAAGTTTAGTTTAAGTTAATTAGCTGTTGAAATTTTAACATCAAAATACGCAGCTTATTTGATGCTTGTGAATATGCCATTTATTATTACCCTATTTACATTTGGTTACCTTTCTAAGGATGATTGTATTGTTTTATAGCTGTTTCCTGTGTGATTAAAGCGAGTCTTAGTGACCAAGACTTAAAGCTGACGCCACTTATTTCGTCACACTAACTTGTATCATGTATCAGGTAGTAGACTATTTTTTGCTGGGTACTCCCCAAAGTCCCGAAGTTCCACAACCTTTTTTCATACTAGTCGTTCGGGTAAGTTATCACAAAGTTAGGGCACCGAGGTGTCACAGAACTACAACTACCTGTGGTTGTTGTTGTTATTGTTGTTTCTGAGATGTTGGAAATAAGTCGCTAGAGACCTTAAATAACGTATGTGAAATTTATGAAATCCTGTGTATGCTTACACTATTCACGTTGATCATTCTGTATGCTTTCACTGTTGTCATTTTACCGTTCATTTGTTCCTTATTTCTTCAAAAATTGTCACCAACTCAGTTGATCAATCAATCAATCGAGTCCCACATGTTTCTTTGCTTCGGAGCTTTGATGTTTTTAACAAACTCTATTGGGTGTTTTATCATCAAAAAATTACAAATCCCTTAACTATTCAAGAATGTGCATGTCGGTTACAGTTTAATTACTTAGTTATCTACGTCAACTACTAGGGAGTGAAGTGATCGAACATGTTGACCACTTCACCTGTTTGGGAAGTTGTATCAGCACTAACGGACTGATTGGCGACGAAATCTCAGCATGGATCAAAAAAGCTCGAACTGCTTTCGCTAACTTACGCCATCTCTGGCGTAGGCGTGGCGTCCGGCTATTAACCAAGGGACATGTGTACTGCTCAGCAGTTCGCTCCGTCCTTCTCTATGGCTCTGAAACATCGCCAATACGAGTTGAAGACATGAAAAGGTTGACTGTTTTTGATCATAGGCGTCTACGGTCTCTTTCTCACGTTAGGTGGCATAATAAGGTAATTAATGTTGACGTTAGGCGTAGAGTGTTGGGCAAAGAGGGAAAATCAATCGACAAGGCTATAAAGTTACATAGATTGAGATGGTTAGGCCACGTGCTGCGCATGCCTAACCATCGCCTCCCCCTCCCGATGGGCATTACTAGCTGATATAGGTGTTGTGGGTTGGAAAAGAGTAAGTGGTGGCCAAACAAAAACATGGCCTCATCAATCCATGAAATCCTTGACAGTTAAACTGAGTCAGGTAGGGAGATGCAGACTTCCGGGTTGGGGCCCTCGGGACTCTAAGAATCAATGGCTGGAGACAACAGGTGACATGGCTGAAAATCGTTGTCAATGGCTTACGCAGATGTATTCAGTCTCTTGGGTAATCTTTCATATTCCTTTCTACCATTACTCATTCTGTTTCACTCTTATACTTGTCAAAACTCTATTGATTCTCTTCACTCTCATTTTCTTGTCTGTTTTTGTGTGCTATTTGGAACGTGGCAACTCGAAGTGCTGCACTTCGGTGCCAAGTTATATATTGAATCCAGACAGAGAGACAGACAGACAGTTATCTCTTTGAAGTAATCATGTCAGTATGATTCCTTGGGATTTATTAAACAAAGTGTATCTTTATTTTCGACCGTTTGACAAACATTCCTTGAAAATCTGTGGCTAACACCTCAATATATGTCTCAGGAAGTTAACCGTTTTGCTTTAGCTTACAACCACACTCACCATGGTTTAGTGGAATGTTACAAATATCTTCACATGAAACCCAAACAGTTTTGACTGTTCTGTTGGCTGTCATTTTTGTTTCAACATCTTTTTTTTGTTTTCATGTAAATGATATTGAAAACGTCCCTCTGGTTGTTTATCCATGACTCCTCATCTGTGTTCTGGTATATGACGTGCCTGTAAATAACTTCCTGAAACTTCTTCGGCGTTGTCAACTTTATTGTACAACAGTACAACTGGGAGTTTTGAGCTTCCTAATCGCCATAGCCTTTGTAGTAGAGTTTCTGTCTGAGTGAAGAGAGAAGTTCAATCGTTTATACAGATATGCATTGAAGCATTGAAAAACCTCCAATCGGTCAGACATACTGACAGTGCATGAAGGCTCTGTTTGTATAAGTTTAAGACCCTTAGGAACAGCTGATATTGTCAGTTCGATATTTGAGGTGATACCATTGATCATTGAGTGGCAACTTGGCTCACTAGCTTAAACGCTCGGCTTTTTGCCGTTGGTTCCCGGGTTCGAACCCTGGTCACCTACTTTAACCCTTACACAATAAAAATGCAGCTGATTGCCATGAATATGAAAAGCCTGTTTGAGCAACAATATTGCATCAAGAAAAATATACTCGCACGTTAACTGCATCCAAATCTTCCAACCTTTTACTGTCCAACATCTTTCTTTTGACGTACTGTCGCCTTTCACTATAGCTAATATTATTCCTTTCGTCTCCGTGCAATTTTAAGTTATGATATCATGGGAGTGTAACAATTTGTGCTATCTATGAATCGTACCTATAATAAGTATCATTCTACCCTTGTGTATCCTCTTCCCTTTCTCTCCTTGCTTTTTAAATTAGCAAGTTAATATAACTGTGTGAAGTTATATGACGCAAACATTCGTCTGCTCGGCACAAATTTTTGATTATAACAATTAGCTAATCATACTGTCAACAATAGTTACTTTGAATTAATGATCAGAAATATATTTTCTGTATTCCATTTGGTTTTTTTAAAATGCTTTTCATGTGTAATTCATTAAGTAAAAAAGGTATCATTATGAGTATATTTTCAAGTGTTGCTTTGTAGGGATTTGACTGATTTCAAAATTGAACATGGACTGACTTCATTTGTAATAATAATAAACTTCAGACTTGTCTTTTGATCTCAGGGTCCTAGGTTCGATCTCTGGTGCGGGGGGGGGGGTTAAGGATGTATGACTGTCAAATAAAAATGTAGAGGGTTTCATCGTAAGCTGACGTTGGTTAAAGAACCATTGAAAAACCTGGGAGTACTTGACAGCTGTTTCCCCCGTCCTAGTTTGTGACTCTTCATCAGTACTCACCCGGCAGGGTGCAGCACATCAAGTGTGAGGACAAGTACTCACTCGCCGAAGACATTGGCTAGTGGTTGCGTTATGCCGTGAATTGACAGAAGTTAGAATTCGTGGACCATTGGATCGGGTCCCAGTGGCTTAATGGTCTACAAGCTCGCTAGCCTTGTAACCAAAAGGTCCTGGATTCGAACCCCGGTAGGTGCGTACTGCGAAGAGTCCCAAACTAGGACGAAACAGCTGTCCCAGGTTTTCCAATGGTTATCTAACCAACGTCAGCTCATGATGAAATCTTGTAACTAATCAGTCAAATTCCTACAAGCCAATACTTGAATAAAAATGTAGAGCCCGGATACTTAATCACATTCTAAAATGTTATGGCGAGAAAACAAAAGTAACAAAACTAGGACAGGGTCACTGAAAAGAACCCCACAACCAATAAAGATACAAGTTCTGCGATTACAATCAGTTTTTTGCTAGTGTCATCTGATGTGGTTTTCCTCTCTATTTCAAGTGTTTATAACCGTGGACACCTTCACTCCTTACCACAAGCTAAGCTACTAACCTGTGAATTCAAATATTTGACTCTTCCTACCTTTATAGGCGGCTCAATACATCATTCATTTTGACTATGAAAGTATAAGATTTACAGAGAAGTTAAATTATAGCAGCTACCCCAATCGACCTTGTCATTGACCCCAAGCAGCTAATTTTAGAATAAAGTGGCAATAAAAGTCTCAAAATTATTAAAAAGATAACTATACATCATGATGTTTTGCTTTTTAATTTACGTCAAAATTCCCCTCCTCTAAAAGAGACAAGTTATCCTGTCAAGCTTTCTTCACTGGCTGAATGGTCTACATACAACCTTGCCTTGGTCCTGGGTTCGAGACCTAGTGAGTGTGTACTGCTGACGACTCCCAAACTTAGCTTTCCAGTACTCCTAGATGGTTTTTCAATAGTTCTCTAATTGACATCAATCTTTGACCGAACTTGAAACAAATCCAGTCCCTACAAACAATCCCGTGAAAATAACTCCAGTTAGTCTATTCACTTACACATGAATCAAACACTCAATCTTCTCGAAACTGCTTAAGCGAATCTACAACAGAAGGCTTAATTTGATTTCGTCTTACCATCTGTAATTCTAATTGTTTGTCAAAGGTCATGTATATCACGATAGTTGCTATAGTTCCACTTCGCCGAATTTACTTCTAAGAGCATTTTTTACAACTGTGACTGACTGATTTATATTTTTGCAAAGTTCTTGCTACCTATGTGACTAACTGACTGGTTTTAACGTAGAACTTTGCACGGGTGTGCAGCAGTTTGTGTCGCCACACTCCATGTGGCGCACAAAGCAAAAGAAGAGAATAGAGAGAGATAATAAACAGAAATATGAGCCTAAAAGAATAGTAATATCAAGGAACAAAAAAGTTTTATTGGATATTATAAATCACAAGGAGTGGATGCATCTATGCCGGCCATTTAGAACGATGAGTTCAAGCCATATCACAGATTGTCTCCAGCCTTCATTGGTTTTACTATCTTCAGAAACCCAACCATTTAGGAAGCTTACACCTCCCCACGTGACTGGCTTAAACTAACTGTTGTGGATTTCATTGACTAATGAAGTTGTGTGAGTGACTTGATATGATTATGAGCAATAATTTGTGCTCGTAACGTCATCAAGTTAATATTACTATATAACAACACTGTGTGATTTATCAAAATAAAATCTTATCTATAATGGAGTTATACTCTACCAACACAGTGCCCAAGTTTTATACTTATATCAATAAGTCATGTTTTGGTTTGACCACCACTAGCAGCTCTTTTCTAACCTGATCCATCCAATGTCAGTCAGCTAACATTGCTTGTCGGTCGAGGAAGACGATGCCTAGACATGTATACGTAACACATGTGTAACAACAGAAGACAAGGGCCAGGCAACGGATCGTTTATTACGGAAAATCAACACATATTTATAGATTTTAATGTACATTATTGTAGATTATTGTCAGTAGAAAATACAGTCTTTTGATTGGTTGTTTCTCATAGAAAGTTAACCTTGCATCTCTTTGTGGCTGTGTCAGAGCATCAATATGCTAACTGTATCCGTCTACGCAAAGCCTTTGTTCTCATTTTCTCACCACCAATATTGGGGACATAAACATTGACATCAATTACTGTCTACCAACTTTGGTTAGCAGCCAGCTCTCACCACACATGTCCTAACCATCTCTCAGTCGGTGTAACTTCACACCCTCGTCGATTGATTTCCCCTCCTTACCTAGCACTCAACCGATGCCTAACCTCAGTTCTGGATACAAATTGTTGAATTATTGCTTTACCACTAACAATAAATATTTAATTTAATACATACATATTCTGTTTCAGGCTTTGGTTAAGAAAACTGAATTCGAAATTTTCGATGATATTCGACGTGGCAGTGGGGAATCACTTTCACTTGAAGAGTACGTGTGTTTTTCTGCAAGATTTCTTTTTTAAATATTTCTATTTGTATTGTTAAATACCTTCCGCTGTTATAATAGATACGAATTTTACTCAATTTGGCAATTCGTGCCACAGAATGTATGCTCAACCTTCAGCTGCAAGGTCATGAGTATATATACTCCAGTCGAAGTGTTAAGATTTTGACAATCAGATAGTACTATTGTAACAAAAGAAGACAAACGCCAGGCAACAGATCGTTTATTGAGAAAATCAACAGATATTTATAGATTTTTATGTACATTATTATTAGCGTTATTGTTAGCAGAGAAGTAACGTCTTCTGATTGGTTGTTTCCTTGCTGAAGGTTATTCTGTACTGCTTGTGACGTTTCTTACAAAGTTATCCATATATCTGCGAATCGTATCTGCACACGCTAAGTCTTCTGTGATTGGTTGTTGAGTTCCTCAAGGTTAAGCTTTGTTCTTGTTTTTTCCTCATGACCCCGATTCGGGACGTAAACATTGACGTAAATTGTTGTGTACAATTTTGTCTTGCAGACAGCTTTCACCACACTATTAGTACCATACATAATGATAAGTCTTACTTATAGCCTGATAAAATAATTTTCTAAAATTAAAGGCTGGCTGTAAAATTCAGTGAAACAGAGAGTTTATTGATCATACTTTCCACTTGTAAAGAGTCATGTTCTATAGTTGGTTGTGTTTAGGCTGTGATGAAGGTATATAATTTTAAGGCATAATAAATGTTCGGAGCGAAAACTAGTTTTTTGAGCCATCAAACTTGAAGTCAATCAAACACCTGCAAACCAGCACTTAGAAATTAATCTACTGCTTACTAGTAAGTGACTTCAGGATGTAGTAGCCTGGATTTCTAGTGGGAAGTCGTGACCACCAAGCTTTGGGTGTGAGAAGAGATACTCGCCGATGACATTGGCTAGCACTGGCGTTATATAATATCGCGAATCGGTAGAAGTAAGTGAAAATTGATGGGTCATTGGATTCCACACCAGTGGTTGAAGGTTTGCTGTGTAAAACCGGAAGGTCCTGGGTTCTACCCGTAGTGGTGGTGTTGAGTGAGTACTGATGAAGAGTCCCAAACAGGGAAGAAACGGATGTGTAGTACTCCTTGGTTTTCAGCTGTCCCCTAACTGAAGTTTGTGTAACTCAACTTTCACCTACTCATTTATATGTTAACTTGTATATCGTATCTTAGGATTGATTATTATTTGCCCGATCGATAGCTGCTACCTTGACGTGGTGGTCGGGCTTGCACATCTCAATAACCCAACAAGCTACACTAGCTGGAACTATTGTTCCTCCAGGTACTACCATGTCAGGAAGGCTGTTAGGATAGCGATTAGACTAGAAGAAGTTACCGGCATAGTGTAAGAATTTTTTTCTACACTATGCTGGGGGTCTGTGGGCGAAGTCGTACGTCTGGGGAACAGGGATTTAACAGCAGTGAGGTGTTTCCCTCAGATGACCAGCATGCCAGCTATGCTGTCTCTCACTCTGAAAGGAGGGGGTTAGAAAAGATCGACCCCAACAATTGTACATCCCGACTTACCCCATATGGTGGTCCGTAACCGGCGGTAAGTTTACTATTTTTATATTTTGATTACAGCTTGATGCCACCTTATTTTCATACGATATGGAATTTTCAGCATGGATATCGGTAGCCCAAATTTTGCAGGCCAACCATAGATATCGGGTGTGCGTCGGCAGGGGATCAAACGCCGGACCATGTGCATGATCGGCGAGAGTCCTAACCACTGTGCCACCGACGCACTAATACGGAACCAATCCAAGAAACCAGTTCATATAGGCCGTGTGTGACTGGCTGGCCTCAAGCAGTTGTCCCCTGGGCTCTGCGGTCACGCAACACTAACTCTTTTTCAGGTACCCGAAGAATCAACCAACTACCACGGTGTGTGCAGCTGGAAAGTAACAGTAGACCACACACCTCCAAAAGCACACGACTGTAATTTGAAGTCATGTGAACCTCAAATAGTGCGTCGGTGGCATAGCGGTTACGATGCTCGCCGATCATGCACATAGTCCGGGGTTCGATCGCCGGCCGACTCACTCCTTTACCTCGCTAAGGCAGAAATAATGCTGGTGAAGATGAAAAATTGAGCATGAGGCTAGCAACTCCATCCTCTGAAAATAAACACTGCTACAGAAGCTTCAAGCCACAAGCTTGAAACCCTATGTTCCACTGGGGAACGTAAAGGAATAAAAAAGAACCTCAAATAGCTAGAGTCCAGTATCTGAAGGAGTGATCTGCATTACTTAAGAATGATTTCTTTAAATTTCTCATCGGTTTATATAGTGAACTGTTAGTTCTTTATTCTTTATTCAATAATGGACTCCTTATTTCTTTCTTCTTCTGTAATTCTAGAAATGCTATGCGGATTCTGATGCGATTGAAGGATGAAGAGTATAGTTCACAGACTCGAGCTTTGTGTTATTTAGGTGGACTATTCCGTAGACGTATGAATGTTCCTGACCGGTTATCAGATGAAGAAGCTGGAAAATTTCTTCTTAGGTAATTTCAACAATTATTTATTTAATTATTATTAAAAATTCTAACTAATCAATAAATGGTCGTTTAACTTTGATTATCGGGAGTTTGTGACAATACTAACTTTTCCGTTATATATCTCAATGATCCAAGATGTCTTTATTTAAAATATCACACTCCCTATATATATACGGGTCAGAAACTTGAACTGCGTGTCGTGGAAAGGATTTCCAACAGCCTGTTGCAGGCTTTTATCAACAGCTGCCCACTTCGCTAGCTGGCTCCATACTGAAGATGAAATGACCTGAAGGGAAGAATTAGCACCAAGAAACTCACTTCCTTGTTGTGTCTACGTTTGTTTAGTACGTAGTGTGTTGGCAATCTGCGAATGTTTCTTATGTGAGTCGCCCTCGTCAGATATAAGGTGATGCTACAGGATTGAACTATTATAGAGAAGATTTGTAGCTCAGGTGGAGGATTTGCAATTAGTAGTGTTCTCTGAGCTGGTTGGTTTAATTGCGGAGCTTCATAAAGATGGTTACCAGGAGACGCAATTCTATCATTCATGGAAAATTTAAATCAGTTCACTTTATGCTAAAAATTGCGCTGAGGATGTTGTCCAGAAGGACGACGGAAGCTCCGCAATTAAACCAACCAGCTTAGAGATATATTGACTCCTACCATAGAGATAGGGAGTGAAATGGTAGAGCGTGTTGACCACTTCACTTATTTGGGAAGTTGCATCAACCCCAACGGGTTGATCGCTGACGAAATTTCAGCATGGATAGAGAAGGCTCGTTTCGCATATGCCATCTCCGGCTTAGTAGACGTAATATCCAGTTGTCTGTTGATCAAAGGACGTGTGTACTGCTCAGCGTAGCAATTCGCTCTGTCCTCATTTATGGCTGTCGGTGAGACGTCGTCATTGAGAATGGAAGACATCAACAAGTAGGATAGCTATCTTTGATCATAGGTGTCTGTGTCCTATCTCCCATGTTTGGTTGTGGGTATAATAGCTTGAGTAATATTGAGTTTGAACAGCTAGAAATCTTCGTTCTCGATGGAATAGACGCATCCACACCTTGGGACTTATGGTATCCAATATAACTATATGGTTCTTCCATATCACCATTCATTTTGTCTCATATTTCTGTTTATTATCTTTCTTTTGAATCTCTCTTCATTCTCTTCTCTTGCTTTGTGTGCTACATGGAGGGAGTGTGGCAGCTCGAACTGTTGCACATCTGTGCAAAGTCCTATGTTAAAACTCAGTTATTTTTAGCTACTATTTAGCCTTTTTACCATATCACTTGAATATTTCATTAAGCCTATTTTAACTGACATGGCAATGGGATTAATGCATAAAATTATCGTTGTGTTGCACTGATTTCCCAGTTTCCAATCTTCGAATCAATAATCGTCTTCACAGCATTGTGTGTGAAGTTAATTTGCATGAATTAAGTGTAATACAAAAGCCGCATTGATGGTTGGTTCCCTTGGTAGGTTACTGACCAACCACGCACGTAATCCAGGTTCGACTCCCCTTGAAGACACACTTCTAAACCTTGCCTACCAGTTAATGAGCCTGGTAAAGAGGGTAGATTGGGTGTTATGTAGGTTACCAAAGCCACCTACCCAGTAAAAACAATATCACTGTATAGAAGAAAAGACTGGTGAGGCTCGAAGGCAATGTTTATTAGGACAAACGCATTTCCGATACATAAATTTGGTATGCTTTATTTGCACATCCTTTGCAAATTGATCGAATATCACCCACCACATTCGATAGCTTGTTGGATTCTGCACAGTGTTTCTAACGTTATTCTCACAGTCCTCTTCTTCGATTGCTTTTTTTTCCAGTGCCCCAAAACATATTGTTACTTTTCTGAATTCGTTTACTGATATACTACTTATAAATGTTTATAAGTAGCACTCACCACACCACGGCTATTGAAACTTTAAAGCGTAAAGCTTGTAGCCCTCTGTGTGTTCCACTCGGAAGGCAAAGGATTTGAGAAGCAAAAGAATTACGAGAAAAACACTATTGTGAATTTTTAGTTTATCACTATTAGTAGTAGTGTAACGACAGAAGACAAGGGCCAGGCAACAGATCGTTTATCGAAAAAACCAAGAGATATTTATAGATTTCTACGTACATTATGATTCGTTATTTTAGCAGAGAAACAGCGTCTTCTGATTGGTCGTTTTCTCACTGGCAGTTATTCTGTCACCTCTTTGTGGTCGTTTCTTTGAAGGTCAGACCATATATCTGCTAATCATATCCGCCCACGCAAAGTCTGCTGTGATTGGTGTTTGAGTTCGTCAAGGTTAGGCTTTATTCTGGTTTTTTCTCATGACCAAGATTTGGGATGTAATCGATTGACGTAAATTGCTGTCTACCAATTTTGGCTAGCAGACAGCTCTCACCACAGTAGTTGTTGTAGTTACATTATTGCTCTGACCGTTCACCTTTCTCACATGCCTGTTTTTGTACTTTTCTGTTGTTTCAGTGAATATATAGCGATCCATTTATCATCATTTTTCGATAAATATCATCTACTCTGGTGAGTTGAACACTATTTTTCTTTGTTTTCTAAATCATTGTATATATAGAAAAAATAATGAGGTATAATTTTAGTTACTGATAAGCAATAAAACTCTGGGACGTTGCATTCATCGACCTTGTGAATAGGTCTTTGATAGATGCAATACCATGAAGTGTAATACCGCAAGCGTTTATAAAACTCATTGAATAACTAATTGGTGAGGTGACATGCTAAGTTATTCAAAATGGAAAGCTCAGCGAAGCCTTTTGGCTGGATTCAACATAGAACTTGGCACCGAAGTGTACCATTTCGAGTTGCCACGTTCCAAATAGCACACAAAGGTAGACAAAAAAATGAGTGAAGAGAATCAATAAAGTTTTGACAACTATAAGAGTGAAACAGAGTGAGTAATGATAGAAAGGAATATGAAAGATTACAGAGACTGAATACATCTGCGCCATTGACAACGATTTTTAGCCATGTCACCTATTGTCTCCAGCCTTCATTGATTCTTAGAGTCCCGAGGGCGGGCCCAACCCGGAAGTCTGCATCTCACTACCTGACTTAGTTTAACTGTCAAGGATTTCATGGATTGATGAGGCCATGTTTTTGTTTGGCCACCACCAGCGAAGTCTTTTAGGTAAAGATAAGAGTAAGACGACACTGTCCGCTAACACCGACAGGATGCGGTGAACGAGAAGATAATCGCATGTTGGAAGATCTGAATTTCTCAGATAGTTTGTGTCTCATATGATTAGAACTCGACGATCTGAAGGCGAAAACCAACAAGTTGGAAAAAGAGGCAGTGAAGGCAGGACTGCACGTGTACATAGAGAGAAGATTATATGGACGGAAATGCCCAATTGTTGGTTTGTAGGGATTATCAGTATCAGTTAAAGAAACATTAAAAACCAAGGCGTACTAGTCAGCCGTTTCGACGCAATTCGGAATTCTTCAGCAATACTCACTCATCACTGCAAAGTCAGGACATTCAGATGAAGAGGTGAAATCGTTGATCATTCTGCTGTTGGGTGTGCATTACTGATAGTGATATGGCTCAAAAACTATTCTTAGTGGCGCAGATGCATTCACCCCTTGTTATCTCCCAGATCTATTGAATCGTCATGTTTTCTCCACGTAACTATCCTTTCTTTAGCACATTTTTGCGCACTATAGTTCTTTTGAATTTTTGAAAAATATTTTCTATACTTTTGTGTGCCACATGGAGAGTGGCGACCTCAACTACTGACCTTCTGTGCTAGGTTTTACCTTGAAACTCTGTCACTCAGCCTGCGGCGTGTGCTACTGATAAGATTTATCAGTAGTATGTAGGGAGGTTTTCATCGGCATAAAAACATCAAATAGCAAGGAGATAAATTTTACGTCAGAAAAAGCAAATAATTCAGAGTTGCGGAGATAGATACATGGGAGACGACGTTTGCCACATGCCAACTTACGCCAAAGGGTTAGTTTCGCATATACCAGTTTACGCTGTCTCAGGCTTAGTAGACGTGATATCCGACTATCGACCAAAGGGCGGGTGTACTGCTCAGCGCAGCAGTTCACTCCGCCCTCCTTTATGACTAGCTGTGAGATATGGCCATTGAGAGTCGAGGACATGAAAAGATCAGCTAGCTGTCTTTGATCATAGGTGCCTGCGTTCTATCTCCCGTGTGAAGTGGTATAGGGTGAGTAATATTGAGGTTAGACATCGGTGGTCAAGTGCTAGGTAAGGAGGGAGGGGAAATCAATTGACGAGGCTGTAAAGTTACACCGATTGAGGCGGTCGAGACATGTGTTACGTATGCTTAGGCATCGATCGCTTTCCTCGACGGTCAATGTTAGCTGACTGACATAGGATTCATCAGGTTGGAAACAAGCTGCTAGTGGTGGTCAAACCAAAACATGGCCTCATCAGTCAATCAATGAAATCCACAACAGTTGGTTTAAGTCAGTCACGTAGGGAGGTGTAGACTTCCTGACTGGTTGGGTTTCTTGGGATAGTAAAAAGCAATGAAGGCTGGAGACAATTGGTGATATGACTCGAAATCTTCGTTCTCAATGGCTGGCGCAGTAGCATTCACTCTTTGTGATTTACAATATCCGATAAAATTCTATTGTTCTTCCATATTACTGTTCTTTTTGCCTCATATCTCTGTTTATTGTCTATCTTTTGCATTTCTCTTTACCGTCTTCTGTTGCTTTGTGTGCTACATGGAGGGAGTGTGACAACTCGAACCGGTGCACATCTGTGCAAAGTTTTATGTTGAAACCAGTCAGTACGTCAATCAGCGTGTAAAAACTATATGTGGCGTGATACAGATAGACAAGAAGCGTCCAAAACTGAAATCAACACTTTGAGTCGATAGCTGCAGTGAATAATAGAAGTGTTTACTCCTCAATACTGCATTTATTTTACGTTGTGGTCATGAAATAACCTCATTGGACAACCATGTTTAATCTTGAGCCAATCGCAAACCACAGTCAGAACAGTTTATTCTCTTCTGACCGAGTCGAATTTTAATATGGCTAAGAAGGTATAAATATGATGTGGATTTCCCTAATTAAGGTCGGTCACCAAGTCTCTCATCTTTTGCTGTAATGTAGGGATACTACCTGGCTGTGCAAACCTCGGTAGGTGAAACGGGGACTCGTTAATTGAAAGTCGAGCGCCTAGGCTAATAAGCTACGGCTCTATTGTTGGTGATTTATTTTGTGTCTATAAAAAATTACAAATAGTATAATAATCCTAAAATTTGCCCATAATATACATTCCTGATTGGGTTCATCCCATTAACTTGTTTTTCACCCTTTTAGTTTTATGATTAAAAAGTTACACGCATTTGTTTCTGGTTTATGCTGTGAAGAGAGTAATGATAATCCAATGTTTCAAGAAGTTCTATTACCATCCACATTGTATCTACAAGTGTTACGTGTAAGTTAACCATTTATGTTTAATCATTACTCTCAAGTGGTTGGTTGGCTTGCAGGGATTTGATTGATTGGTTACAGGATTTCATCATTAGCTGACATCGGTTAGAGAACCATTGGAAAACCAGCTGGGAGTACTGGACAGCCAACTGTTTCGTCAGTCTACTTTGGGACTCTTCACCAGTAAGCACCCACCGCCAAGGTTCGAGCCTAGGACCTTCTAGTTCTAAGTCACGCTAGTAGACCATTCAGTCAATGGGACCCCCATCCCAATGGCCGGCTCATGAGTTCCATCTTCTGCCAATTCACAATACAGCGCAACTGGCACTAGCCAATGTCATCGACGGCAAGTATTTGTCCTCACGCTTGACCTGCTTTACCCGCTGGTCACGACTTCTCACTAGAACTCAGCTAACTACCTAGCCAAGTAGGGCCAGTTGGTTGTCAGGACACATACTCGCCACCCGATGAGATTGGCGCTATATTGTGAATTGGTAGAAATTGGAATTCATGGGCTGGTCATTAGATCAAGTCCCATTGGCTGAATGGTCTACGAGCTCGCCTTTTAACCGAAAAGTTCGTTTTTCATACCCTGGAGGTAGCTGCGTACTGTTGAAGATTCCCCAACTGGGGCGGAACAACTGTCCAGTACTCCCAGGTGGTTTTCCAATGGTTCTTTAACTGATCATTAATTATCTTTTCGAAAAAAAACAGAGAAAAGTGTATTCGTTACACAGAATTTCATAATTGTATATGTTGTTTATTATGACCCTTAAATTCTTAACACCAATATTAAGTTAACGTTCTCACATGGTTCAGTGATTTAACGCATGTGTCACTGAAATCATTTCCAAATAGACTGTGTAGACTTTCATCGACGCTTACCATCTTCTCTCGATACCGATGTTTAGATGACTGACGGGAAAGAATTAATTATCTGCAGGAAACTCCAGCCGGTGACAAACCAGTCAAGAATCTATTTTCCGACTAGTATCTAGAAGAAAGTAGAGGCGGAATGAGTATGCACTATGGAGAGATTCAAGTGACATCACACTACCAAACTGTTGAGTTGAGTTCGAACGGTATCCAAAAGTTTGGGCGTCTAAAAGTGACATGAAAATTGTGTGAAAAGAAAATGTAAGTTTGTATGGTTGGTCACGGAACCGATCGGAAGTGATGGTAGGGAATCCAGTGCATTTGCGATCAGTTTTTTTTCCAAAATTTTCGTATTCCTCTACGTTCGGGGTGGGACGCAGAGCTTCAAGCTAGAGCTTCGAAGTTTCGGTACTGGTGGTTTTATTTTTATGGAGTTATGGTTGCTAGCCTCACGGCCAACCTTCCCTCTTTACCGGCTTGGAGAGGTTTAAGAGTGCGTCAACCTAGCATCGAACCCCGGACCATATATGTTGCGTTATTATTGGCTAGCATTCTATCGCTGAACCAACAACGCACAGTCAAGACGTAAGGAATGAACATTAATACTAGTAATAAATGTTATGTCATATCGCTTGCATCTCTCCCCACTAGACTGTGAAAATGAAAAAAAACCCAGTAAGTTTGGTAACCAAGGCACCCATTCCAGAAGACTACAAATTTACGCTGATAAATGTTTTATAATAGTTCGAGTATTTATTCTGTAATTTGATTCGGATCATAAACAGATCTGGGTTTCAAGTTGAGTTAAATTCAGAATGTGATCTGCTTTGATACACCGAATTGTGTCATTTGCATTCCCCCTCTGTCGCCATTAAGTACCAGCCAGAATTTAACTGGTTTGAACAGATGTGTCTCTGTGAACTGTGTTAAAACCCGGTACACCGATGATTATGGCGGCTCCGATTAAATGAAATACTTCAATCTAGCCAAAAGAGCACTGCTATTTCACGTAAATGCATCCCAGAGTTTATGTACAATCTATTTGAATACTTCGAGACATGTTTACAAACGACTTCAATTCTTATGGATTTCTTGTAAACCTTAACCATAAAGGAATGTTTTCAGCAAAATGTTGTCATCCTCTCTTTTCTTCCACTTCGCAACCTTTTTTTAACCTTTCTTATTGTTTAGAACAACACATTTAAGCGAATAATATTGTTTTCAATTAGATCTCATCAGGCTTAACTCTAATATATATAAGTTTACAAATAAAATTCAAATATAAACCAATCATGGTGTTTTGTCTATAGGATAATACGATGGAGAATAAAAATTGTGCAATTAGTCATATTAGTAGTAATGATAATAATAATAGTAATAATAAAAATGGTCTTATCAATAATAAGGATGAAAAAGTGAGGCAATCTGTGATAACACGAATAATGAAAAACAGCATGATTAAACAAACAAATGTCCAGGTAGACGTATTAGTCGATAAAGGCTAGTAAAAACAAATGAACCGATTAAGTAATGCTAAATCGTAAGGGAAGTAAATGAAACGTTTTTAATGAAGATGTGATAAGATTAAGGGATGATAAGAAAGGGGTTGAAAATATAAGTAAGTAAGGGGTGGTGTAGAAGTCATTAGTTGGTTATGTCTCAATAGGCCAAGGGAAGGATAATGGCTGTACGAACTTTCTTTGAATACATAGTTTAGGTGCGTTGGTGGCACAGTGGTTAGAACTCTCGCCGACCATGCACATGGTCCGAGGTTCGATCCCCTGCCGGCGCACGCCCGATATCTATGGTCAGCCTGAATTTGGGCTACCGATATCCATGCTGAAAGTTCCATACTTGTACTGAAAATACGGTGTGGAATCAAGCTGTAAATCAAAATAAAAATAAAATAATAAAATAGTTCGAATGCCTATCGCCTCAGCTGTGTGCAGTAAACGAATACGAAATCTACTGGAAAGACTCGGTATTGTTTGATTACTCCATCTTTTCTACTGAATCCTACTTACTTACATGAATTAAATTTCAACTGGTCATTTTATTCATTCTTTTGCCCACAGGGCTGCAAGCTTGAGCTGTAAAGTCTCAGTAGCGGTAGGTTATTTCACGGGGTGGGGGGGTGTGGCTTCTCTAGCCTCACGGCCAACCTCCTCTCTTTACCGGCCTTACTATCTATCGGCTTAGCAAGGGTTAGGAGTAGTAGGTCGACCGGGGATCGAACTCCGTACCACGTGTGGTATGTGTGGTTGGCAAGCATTCTACGATAAAACCACGAACATTATAAAGTTATGAAGCTCCTAATTTATTGTCCACACTACCCTAGTTATTTTTTCTCGTTAAACCTTCACTTGAATAAAATACACAATTGTAACGGGATACTACACTTTATAACCCTTTCTTCGATTACATCTCATGTTATGTCACTAGGTCTTGGTTATTTCTATCCACTTTAACTACACTACCAATAGTTTATATTTTCCACTGAATTACATACATAATTTTCATACATTTATTTCCCTTAATTAATTTGAATAAAGCAAGAACAACAGCAGTTTTTGCTGAATAAAACGGTACCATCATTGCTAATCTTGTTGGCTTCTCATCAGCTGCTTACAGGCCAAAGACATTATTAAGTATATCTATAGAAACAATTTTAACATTCTTGCACAGAGAGTTCATTTTTAAACAAAAATCAATCAATCAGTATGTGTATAATACTAAACAATATTCCGAACAATAATGATCATACACAATGGAAACTTTCGACACTACGTGATCAGATGAAAGAGAGGTGGAAATATCCAGTTACCGGGCAGGCAAAAGAAAGACTAATGACTGCTCCTTTCTGAACGCCTAAAACAGGTTTCAGGCGCTTGATGGAGATGGCTTCAGCAAACTTAAAGAGAATTGAACTCTTTTGCCTATTGATAATTTTGAACGATCTTTCATTATTGCTCACCCTATTATACCACTTCATGCGGGAGATAGAGAGCAGGCATCTATGATCAAAGACAACTAGCTAGCCTTTTCATGTCTTTCACTCTCAATGGCCAGGTTTCACACCCATATAGGAGGACGGGGCGGACTGCTGAGCAGTATACACGTGCTTTGGTCGATAGCCAGCCGGAGACGCCAGAGACTGCGTAAACTGGCACATGCTAAACTAGCCCTCTGTATCCGTGCTGACATTTCGTCAAAGATGAACCCTTCAAGGATGATGGTACTTCCTAAATAAGTGAAGTGGTCAACACGCTCCACCAACCACTTCACTTCCTATTTCTAAGATAGGAATCAATGTAGCCCAGTCCTGTAGCATCATCTTACATTTGGCGGGAGCGAATAGCATGCCAAACATTCGCAGATTGCAACTCAAAGTATTCAGAAGACTGCATTTCGTCAGCGTCTTCACCTTAGAGGTAGGACTATATCATCTGCATATTCCAAGTCAATGAGATTATTCGCTGGTGGTAACAAGTCAATCCCTGGATCTCTGAAGTCGCTTAGGGTTAAGTCCATTAGTGTATCTATGATGAAATTGAATAGAAATGGGGATAGTGGGCATCCCTGACGGACACACCACTAGTTGTCACCACTTCAGGATTCTAACAATCAGTTGCTCGAGACTGTTGGTGATATGGCTTAAAATTGTTGGCACTGACGCAAATGTGCACTCATATACACATATGCTTTTACTATCAAGTCTTATTGTTTATATATTTTTATTTTATTTTTCCCTCTCATTTTAGGCAAAAATAACATACTTCCTATCTAGTGTTCGAGAACAAATTTTATTGAAAACTCGTAGACAAAATGTTCGTGCCACCTTGTGTAAGTGACCAAATGTATTTATACCACACATTCATGTGTGTGTGCATGCGTGTGTGAATAAATGAAGCAGCTATCAATCTATATATGTTAAATTATACATCACTGAGAGAAACTTGACAGGCTTTAGACCAAAAATAGGATGTATTGATCATATCTTCAGCCTTCCGCACAGATTCTGGAACCATAGACACAGTCTTGACGTATTTCTTGAAGTGAAAACGGCGTTAGACTCCATTTAACCCAGAGGGGTACTATGGTAGTGTTTGGCTGTGAAGGGAGTGTCGAGAAACCGCATCACACCCTAATTAAGGCACTCTACTGGGACTCATGCAGGTCGGAGAGGTCGTCATCTGAAGTGATGACAGTCATTGGTGTTTATCAAAGACTCCCACTGTCCCCAATTTTGTTTAGTTTCATCTAGAAATATACTAATAAGTGTGACTCTAATCAACTTTTGCAAAATAGGGACTAATTTGTTACCAGATAAATAGTCTTGTTAATTTACAGTATGCAGGACGATATTGTCCTTGTCAGGTGAAGACACTGACAGGGTGTAGAGTCTTCTGAACACCCCTTTGAACACAGAGCTTTCAGTATGTGTGACATGCATCCATCACAAAATTGGTCTTTAACTGTTTCAAATAGTATCGTAAACTTGAAATATTATTATCATTATTACTTTATTGTCATAGAGATGCATAGTCAACCGGAAAGATTAACGTCGATTGAGACGTCTAAGACACGTCTTACCCATGCTAAGCCGTCGGCCTCCTCGTCCAGCAGCAGTGTGTTAGCTGACGCAGGATTAGGTTGCAAAATAACTAGAGTCAAAACAAAGCCTGGATTCAGTGCAGTAGACGAAGTCTTTGACAGTTGGTTTGACCCACTTAGTGACGTGCAGATTGCCTGTTTGGGGTATCCGGTTCCCTGACTGAGATATCGAACTTGAGACAAATCAGATCCCCACAAACAAACTTTTGAAAACTAATCTGATTGTCTGGGGTTATAGTGAGAAGTCGTTACCAGTGGGGTTTAACCAGTCTGGAAGAAGGACAAATACTCTCCACAGACGACATTGGTTGGTGCCAGTTGCGCTAAAATCACGAATTGGTAGAAGTTAGAATTCATAAGTTGGCCATTGGGGAGTCGGGTGCCAGTGAGTAAATGGTCTACGGGGTTGCCTTGTAATTGGAAGGTCCTGGGTTCAAAATCCCGGTGGGTGTGCACTGCTGATGAGTTTCAGGCTGGGACGAAACAGCTGTCTGGCAGTACTCCTTGGTTTTCAATGGTTGGTTCTCTGACTGGTACCAATCCGTGACCAAACTTGAAAAAACAAAACTAATTATATTATTTTCTTGATGACTAGACTAACTAATTCACATGAGATGAAAAAGGAAACTAAATGACATTCAACTAGAGAATGATGAAACAATGGTTAGTTTTGATATATAACTAGTCTTTATACTAATATACCAATCAATATGCCCGCCTTAGAAGCAGTTAAAAAAGAACTAACTGCAGATCCTGAACTCACTCATAGGACAAAGCTGCCCATTGAAGAAATTATTTTAGGAATTCAGTTATGCCTCATATCTATTATCTTTAAATTCCAAGGCAAAATATATAGACAAACAGATGGTGTAACCACTAGGATCACCAATATCCCCTTTAGTAGCAGATATATTTATGGACAGCTGGGAAAATATTGCTCCTAATACATTTAATCCTACTCCAAAAATATGGTGGAGATATGTGGATGACACTTTCACACACAGTGTTGAAAACAGAACATATCTCTAGCTTCTTGACACATATAAACTCACTAGTAGAGGGAATAAAATTCACATTTGAATCGGAAAATGAACAAGGAGAATTAGCTATGGTGTTAGATTGTAAAATAAAACGAATAGAAGAAGGTAAACTGCACACTAGCGTTTATAAAAAGCCAACGCATTCTAATAGATATTTAGACTTTAATTCATCTCATCCGTTATCTGTCTGTGAAGGCAGGCTTAGTTAAGTGTCTGACAAACTGATGTATTAGCACTAAGTAGCTCAAGAAAAGATCTAAATGATGAAATAAAACAGATAAAAGAGGTGTTGGTGTTAAATAATTATCCTAAAAAATTCATTAGGAAGATCAGAAAAGGTCAAAAGCAAAATAAAAATAATTGTGAAACTAATAATGATGACATAAATAAAAAAGAATATAAGTCATCTACAGTAATTTTACCTTACAAGGAGGGAGGGGAAATGTGAGACCATACGTGGGATTTTTAATAAAACAGGAATTAGAGTGGCATTTAAACCTACAAACTCATTCAGACGCAAGCTCTGTAGGCTAAAACACCCGGTGGACCCAATTAGACAAAATAATATAATTTACAAAATACCTTGCAATGACTGTGAGTTAAGTCAACTACATGGGTCAAACTTGTAGATCGGGTAATCAGATTGTTGGAACATAAGAATTTAGCTAAGGTCAAAATGGTTGACCCTGAGAAGATAAGTAATTTAGAAAAGAGTTCAGCGATTGCACTGCACGTATTAACACACAACAACACAATAGGGTGGGTGGGATAGAGTCAAAATTCTAAGAAGTAATATAGGTAGGTGAAGAGAGAGACAGATTGATTACTGAATCCTGGTTCATTGAGTCTACAACACCCAACACATGCAACAGAAATGACTCAATGCAAATACCAGAGATATGGAAGATATTATTACCACCAGTCAGTCAAATCAGAGGAGGATAATAAATAATCTCAAATTGTATTCTATTTCAATTCAATTCACGTACACCATAACATTCTAACAAGTTACTTATTTATTTTGACTATGAAAACACTCGTCTTATTTCCCATCTGATTGTAATTGATCAATAACACTCATATTATTATTATTTCTGAATGTACACTCTCCTATATTGATGTTTATTCAGATGTCTAATCACCAATTTCACTCATGTATATAAATGAAGTAAAAAGTTGTGTGAGTAAGTAACTTGATATGATTATGAGCAATAGGCTGTGCTCGAAACGTCATCAGTTAATATTACTGTATAGCAACACTGTGTGACTTTATCAAAATAAAATCTTATCCATAATGGTGCAAATTCAACTCTTAAACTAACTTGTGATAAAATGGCTACCATATAGACAGAGATAGACGTAATTAACATCAGACTTAGCAGTACTTTAGTATAATTAATTCATATTTTAACATAATGTTCTGTCGATCGATCATCTTAACCCTGTTTCACTTATAAATTCTTTCATTCATATTTCAGCTTTATTTCAACAAACCCTGAATTCTCGTGCATCTGAGATTACTACAGCAATGGTTTATTTACTATCCACTGGTAACCTTCCTCCTACTTGTAAGTCGACACTAGCCGCTCAACTTAGCGGTCAGTCAACTGGTCTTACTGTTCCTGCAGACAATGTGAATTTTCTACGTTTTGCTGCCCAATTTCGAGCAGTTCATCGTGGTGCTTACTTCACAGAAATGCGTACTACATCTGTTCGTCGTTTGTTACCAGAAGCATGGGGTTTCTTTTGTCCTGTTCATACACCGGATGGTGCTCCATGCGGGCTATTGAATCATTTAGCTGAACCTGTAGAGGTAAAGTGTCAAATTCTTTTGTGGTTGGTTATTAGTGTTGCATTGTTAATTTCGGGAAGTGTTTTTGGTGTAATGTGTTATCTCCCCTGACCGGATTGACTGCTACCTTGATGAGGTGGTCGAGCTTGTATATCGCAATGACTCAGTGAGCTATACTGGCTGGAGCGAATGTTCCTGCAGGTCCTGCCATGGCAGGAAGATTGTTAGGATAGCGATTAGACTAAAAGCAGTTACCGGCATAGTGTAAGATTCTTTTACACTATGCTTGGGGTCTTTGGACGAAGTCATACTGCTGGGGAATAGGGATGTAACAACAGTGAGGTGTTTCCCTCAGATGACCAGCATGTCAGCTAGCTATGCTGTCTCTCCACTCTGGAGATAGGGGGTTAGAAAAGGTCGACCCCAACAATTGTACATCCCGACTTACCCCCTCCCCTACGGTGGTCCGTAATCGGCGGTAAGTTTACTAATACGGAACGAAACCTAGAAACCAGTTCATACATGCTGTGTGTGACCGGCTGGCCTCAAGCAGTTGTCCCCTGGGCTCTACTGCCACGCAACACTAATTCTCTCTGTTTCAGGTACCCGAAGAATCAATCAAACAACCGCCCACACACTTCCAAAAGCACAAGAAGCCTTCCTGAGCATCACTCTCCCTTACTCAAATCACCTTCCTCATCTTGCTTCTCTACTACAGTTAGCACTATTCTTCAGGCTAGTGAGTCATCTCCACTTCACTCTGTGCCCACATACAATGATGAGAGCCATAGAAACACCCCTAACAGCCTTTTAAAGCCACGTCACCAACTTCATATAGGAGCTTTCAACGTCAGAACCATCTGCCGAATCAGACAACAAGCATCACTAGCAACAAATGTGGCATCTCGAGCCATGGATGTATGTTGTGTTTCGGAGACACGCATACAAGACCCGAGTGTGGTCATTCACTTAACCTCACCCGGTCAACAAGGTGAATCTGCAAAATTCACTTTAAGGGTGTCAGGAGACTTCTCAGCTAGTTCGTGAGGACTTGGAGGTGTAGGGATAGCATTGAGTGTTAGGGCAGAAAAATCACTTCTTGACTGGATCCCAGTAGATAGTCGTATGTGTGCGGTCCGTCTGAACGGGCCCATTAGAAGAAGGAAGGACGGTGTTACCCGTCGTTGTCTTTTCGTAGTCTCCAAGATCACACGATTATAACTTGAGGTCATATGAACCTCCAATAAATGGAGTCCAGTATCTGAAGGGATGATCTGCATTGCTTAGGAATGATTTCTTTAAATTCCTCATCGGTTTATATAGGAAACTGTTAAATATATATTCTTTATTCAAACAGGCAGTGTGTGAGACCAACCTTAAACAACTGTCCCATAGGTTCTGCTCCATCTATTTCAGATATTTATAGTAGAAATCAACTTCCATGGTGAAGTAACAGTCGCTCACACACTCTCCAGAGCCTCAGGATGGGTGCCTTGCGCTGCGGGTTGGCCACCCCTCCGCACACCTCTTGAAAACCTCCCATATGACCGGGCGTCTCACATAGCCTCTCCTGAGGAAGTCCTACTCACTGCCTTTACGTGGCGGAGGTGTTTTTCACCAAAGTGAGAGGGCGAAAGCGGTTGCCCGGCGCTCTTCACCGGGTTGACTGTCCATTGGATGACAGTCTAGGGGAGATGGCTAAACCCTGATTCCAAACCTCCAACGACTGGCGTATGAAGCTCACTGGAGCTCACCGGCAGACGTATGGACAAAGGGCTTGTTGGATGTCCTGGATGTCTGGCCCCATTCAAAAAGGCGTATGAACCGAACTCCGGTCACCGGCTGCCAATGGATAGTGGACTCCATACTCCACTCCTACTTCCTTGTAGGTGACACTTGGTTGTGTAAAGGCTAGAGCTGCACTCTCGAACAAAAGGCCGAGCGATTCTGGGGACATCACTCGTACCAAATTCCCATGAAACTTCATGAATCATGAAGCCGGCTCATCCTCCCGTAGGAGATAGCCGAAGTAAAGTAAAGTAAGTCTCACAATCATACAAGTCTATGTACTATACGTCCGTAAATCACAAGATTTATAAGCAAATTCATGAAGCAAGTTGTTTTGTGTGTTTGCAGAAAATCCTTCACTGTCTCGATAATTGATGACCGTTCTAATTACACTACGACGTTAAGAGGCTTCTTTTCATTTTGTTATTTTTCTAATCATGAAATTTAATGAATTCCCTTTTATTCAGTGGAATTAACTTCAGGGTTAACAAATAGTCAACTTATGTGTGAGGGTAGCTAGCTCTTGTGGCTCAAGTAGGCGATGGGCGATGAGTTCGAGTCTCAGTGGTTGGCTGACTGGATTCAACATAGAACTTGGCACCGAAGTGCACCACTTCGAGTTGCCACATTCCAAATAGCACACAAAGGTAGACAAGAAAATGAGTGAAGAGAATCAATAGAGTTTTGACAAGTATAAGAGTGAAACAGAATGAGTAATGGTAGAAAGGAATATGAAAGATTACAGAGACTGAATACATCTGCGCTAGCCATTGATAACGATTTTGAGCCATGTCACCTAGTGTCTCCAGCCATTGATTCTTAGAGTCCCAAGGGCGGGCCCCAACCCGGAAGTCTGCGTCTCCCTCCCTACCTGACTCAGTTTAACTGTCGAGGATTTCATGGATTGATTGATGCCATGCTTTTGTTTGGCCACCACTTACTCTTTTCCAACCCACAACACCTATATCAGCTAGTAATGCCCGTCCGTCGGGGGAGGCGATGGTTAGGCATGTGCAGCACGTGACCTAGCCATCTCAATCTATGTAACTTTATAGCCTCTTCGATTGATTTTCCCTCCTTGCCCAACCAACACTCTACGCCTAACGTCAACATTACTTACCTTATTATACCACCTAACGTGAGAAAGAGATCGTAGACATCTATGATCAAAAACAGTCAACCTTTTCATGTCTTCAACTCGTATTGGCCATGTTTCAGAGCCATAGAGAAGGACGGAGTGAACTGCTGAGCAGCATACACGTCCCTTGGTTGATATCCGGATGTCACGCCTACGCCAGAGACGGTGTATAAGTTAGCGAAAGCAGCTGGAGCTTTTTGGATCCGTGCTGTGATTTCGTCACCAATCAATCCATTGTTGCTGATACAACTTCCCAAATAGGTGAAGTGGTCAACATGTTCTATCACTTCACTCCCTATCACTAAGCTAGGAGTTGATGTAGTCCAGTCCTGTAGCAGCATCTTACATTTTACAGGGGCGAATCGCATGCCAAACATACGAAGACTGCTGCTCAAGGTGTATAGAAGACCCTGCATTTTTTCAGCATCCTCCCCTAACAGGACTATGTCGTCTGCATATTCTAAGTCCGTAAGACTTTCCCTGGTAACAAGTCGATTCTTAAGTCGTTAAGTTCAGTTAAGGATACTCCCATTAGCATATCCATGATGAAGTTAAACAGAAAAGTGGGAAGTGGACATCCTTGACGGACACCACTGGTTGTTATCAATTCAGATAACAATTCTCCATAAGCCCTTACATGGCTACGTGGGAACATCGTTACACACTAGGAGTGCAGGTTCATCTAGGTGACGAGTCATAAATGGGACGAAGTACGCATCTTCGATTCCAGTGCTAGTCATCATGAACTACAATAGCAGTACATCAGTTGGTTAGGTTGTGGAATCGCATTAATTGCGATTTTTATAGATTGTGTTCTAGGCAGACTGTGAGTAGACAGTGAATGCTATTTAGGGAAAGGCGCAAACTAAAACGTCGATGTAGTCCCGATGTGATGTTCCACTGGTATTCTGAAGCATATCACTCTACGGCTTGGTGTGTGTGTGTGTGTTTGAACTCAGTACCTGGAACAGATCTTTCATGCTGCAGGCTATGAGCCCAGTTTTCCAGGCTGTGGAATAGATGGAGTGGGATTTGAACCTGAGATTGGTAACCGAGTACTTAGTTAGGTCAGTAAGCCACACGTGTGTAGAGAATGCTTTTGGTGTCGTGTGCGCTTAGCTTCCGTATCATACAGAATCGCTGATTTTCTCGGCGCTAATGTTAAAAATTCAGATTGTGTTCGTTGTACTGTGTGCTGTAGATCTCGGCACCGATTTCAGAGTAATGAACACCAAATCCATCATATCCGATGAATTAAGGTTCAAGTTGATCTTGTGGAGTATGTATATCAGTTCTTAGACAACTGTTTACTCACTATGTCGTATGAATCATCATTTTTATAATCTTGTGAACACGTAATTAGACCTAAATCTAGACAGACTATCTTTTATTTGTACGGTAACCTTTTTGTGTTTTCTTTGTGTAGAGTAAGATAGCCTTTATTCTTCTTAAGTATACCTTGCTTCAATTCAATTTTAGATTTTCCCGTCGATTGATTGAACCGAAGTGCTCCGTGTCAGGTTGACATGTCGGCTTCTTGTGCAGATGCTTCGACGATGTCTGGTGGATGGTGACTAGCAGTGGAATCCAGGACAACGCGCATTTCGTACTATTTGGGACTCGTCAGCTTGAGTGTACCTGCATTCCGCACCAAGGCTCGTACCCAGTGCCCTTTTTTTCAAACGCCAAAGCGCGTTATCCACTAGACCATTTGAGCCTCGGTGGGTACATTCATCACTCACTACGGAATGCAGGTACATCCACTAGCTGACGAGTCCCGAATAGGACGAAATGCGCGTTATCCTAGATTCCACTGCTAGTCACCATCCACCAATTAGCTTATACCTTTCTTTAACTGTGAAGTTTCTTGAAATGTTTATTCTATTTTTATTTGTTTTTGGCTTTGTTTAATCATAACAGGCTGTCTGTGAAACTCCAAAACAATCTGTACTTGACTCTTTAGGCAATTGGTTAGCCACGCATAAACTACGACCTATAGAATTATCTAGACAATTATTTGGTATAGTTGAACAACAAAACGCTCTACCAGTTCTACTAGATGGTCGTCTAATCGGTTGGTTGTCAACATTAAGCGAAGCTAAACAGTTGGCATTGGAATTACGTCAGTCAAAAGTTAATCCTGACTGTAAGAATATACCGCACACACTAGAGATTGTATTAGTTCCACCGACAGACGTGGCTTCACAATATCCTGGTCTATATCTTTTCGCCGGAGGGTCACGACTATTGAGACCAGTAAGAAATCTACAAAGTTTAAACAAGAGTAAGTCAAACGGTAAAGATGTCGTTGTTGAATGGATTGGAACATTTGAACAAGTGTATTTGGATATATCTGTGAAAGAGGAAGAATTGAAAGAACGCTTATCGACGGATAAATCACATATTGAATTGGCACCTGAAAATATTTTCAGTTTTGTCGCTGGTTTAATACCCTATCCAGATTTTAATCAGGTAGGTAAGCGTTTTTTTGTTGTAGTTCATGTTTTTTCTCTCCCCAAATTGACATTCTATTGTGTATGTCATAAATAATTATCAAGTCTTGGTTAGCAAGGATTTGATTAGTAGTTGCAGGATCGATTACGAGCTGGTATCAGTTAGAGAACCATTGAAAACCACCTGGGATTACTGGACAGTTGTTTCGTCCCAGTTTCGGACTCTTTGGTAGTACGCGGACACTAGAATCCGAACGTTAGGGCCTTCCGGTTACAAAAGGAGCCTGTAGACCGTTCAGTCACCGGTATATATATAGCACAATCATTAGCCAATGTCATTGGCGAGTAAGTGTTCTCTTGCCCGACTTGGTCGACCCCTCTGGTCATGACTTTTCACTAGGACTTCAAGTTACTTTCTGTATATAGAGCCATTCACTCGCTAATGAGCATCAGGTTGATTTGCAAGTGTTTTACTGGAGGGATTTGATTGGTTACAGGTTTAGTGACGAATTGACATCAGTTAGAAAAACTATTGGAAATAACGTATGTGTGAGGCAGCTGTCTGTCTGTTTGTTTTCGACATAAAACTTTACACAGATGTGCAGCAGTTCAAGTCGCCACACTCCCTCCTTGTAGCACACAAAGCAAGAGAAGAAAGTAGAAGAAATGCAAAATAGAGACAGTAAACAGGGATATGAGACAAAAGGAATAGTAATAACGAAGAACAATATAGTTTTATTGGGTATTATAAGTCACAAGCAGTGGATGCATCTGCTCCAGACATTGAGAACGATTTCGAGCCATATCACTAATTACCTCCAGCCTTCAGTGGTTTTTACCGTCCCGAGGACCCCAACCAGTAGGCCAGTCTACACCTTTCTACGTGGCTTAAACTAACTGTTGTGGATTTCATTGACTGATGAAGCCATGTTTCGGTTTGACCGCCGCTAGCTCTTTTCCAGCCTGACCCTATGTCAGCTAACATTGCCTACAGAGGAAGGCGATAAATGCCTGAGCATACGTAACACATGTCCTAACCATCTCAGTCGATGTAACTTCACAGTCTCGTCTATTGATTTCCCCTCCTCACCTAGCACTCGACCGATGCCTTACCTCAATATTGCTCACTCTATTATACCATTTCACACGGGAGATAGAACGTAGACACCTATGATCAAAGACAGCTATCCTTTTCATGTCTTCCACTCTCAATGGCCAGGTTTCACAGCCATAAAGGAGGACGGAGCGGACTGCTGAGCAGTACACACGCCCTTTGGTCGATAGTCGGATATCACGTCTACTAAGCCAGAGACGGCGTAAACTGGCATATGCGAAACTAGCCTTCTGTATCCGTGCTGAGATTTCGTCAGAGATCAACCTGTTGGCGTTGGCTGATGCAACTTCCCAAATAAGTGAAGCGGTCAACGTGCTCTACCACTTCACTCCCTATTTCTAAACTAGGAGTCAGTGTAGTCCAGTCCTGTAACATCATCTTACATTTGGCGGGAGCGAATCGCATGCCAAACATTCGTAGATTGCAGCTCAAGGTGTTCAGAAGACTCTGCATTTTGTCAGCGTCTTCATCTAGGAAAGGACTATATCATCTGCATATTCTAAGTCGACGAGATTATTCCCTGGTGTAACAAGTCAATCCCTGAGTCACTGAAGTCAGCGGTTAGGTTAATTCCATTAGTACATCTATGATGAAATTGAATAGAAATGGGGATAGTGGGCATCCCTGATGGACACCACTAGTTGTCACCACTTCAGATGACAACTCGCCGTAAGCTCTCACCTGGCTGGCTGCATGAGTTCGAGTAGAGTTCCTTGATCAGTGCGAGGTGTGAGGCAGCACCTCATAGATAGGCACTACATAGTGGTAATTATGCTTTAAGTACAAGTTATACAATACAACGAATTTCCGTGATTTTATTATGACACAGAAGTGTATATAAGCACCTTGTATTTGATATATATTGATATTAAAGTTTACTGCGAAAGTCTGCGCATATTGCTTAATTTCTTAGAGTTCAGTCAGAAGAAAAATTATGGGATTTCTTCACTTGATTTGAATTGATTTATTTGTTTCTCTCTTCACATTCCTTTACGTCCCAAGTGGTCCCAAGGGCTTCAAGCTTGAGTTTGACTTTCAGTTTGACTAGCAGTGATGTTCTTTTTATGGCCTTGACTTGCTAGCCTCGCATCCAATCTTCCCTCTTCACCGGACTTACTACCGGTTAAGTGAGGCTTCTTAAGAGTGCGTCGGGCAAGAATCGAATCCCGCCGGACCACGAGCGTACTGGGAAAGCATTCTACCATTGAACCAATGGCTCACATTTGTTCCTCTAAAAAGTTCGAGAGGAGAGGGTAAGCTAAGTACTACTAGTTAGTTTGTACGGCAAGTATACAATTGTTATTCGGCCAGTATCAATACATTGATCCGGTGTGCGTTGGTTGTTCTGTGGTGAGAGCTGGCTGCTAGCCAAAAGTGGTAGACAGTAATTTACGTCAATGTTCACGTCCCCAATATTGGTCGTGAGAAAAATAAGAACAAAGACTGATTCAACAACCAACCACAGCAGACTTTGTGTGGGCGGATACAATTTGCAGATAGATAATCTGAACTTCAATAAACGGCCACAAAGAGATGAAAGATTAACGTTCAGCGAGAAACCACCAATCAGAAGACTGTGTTTGTTCACTTACAATAATCTATAATAATGTACATGAAAATCTATAAATATCTGTTGATTTCCTAAATAAACGATCGGTTGCCTGGCCCTTGTCTTTTCTAGTTACAGTGTGAATTTACTCTCATTTAACGTGCTTCATAGTATGTAACTGAATCCTTGGTGAAAGCTACCTTGAAATTATTGAATTTCTCACAGAACCCATGATTGTATTCACTATTATCAGTTTTTGTCTGTATATATATATATTCGAAATGTATTCATGTCATGTGGTGTATTCTTAATTACTTTATTTTGTTTCGTCTAGTCTCCTCGTAATATGTATCAATGTCAAATGGCAAAACAGACAATGGGTCATTCTAGTTATACTTGGCGTAGTCGATCAGACGCGAAAGCCTATCGTCTGTTCACACCGCAAAGTCCTCTTGTTCGAACAAAAATGTATGTGAAATATGATGTGGATCATTATCCACTGGGATTTAATGCCATAGTCGCTGTGATGTCCTACACTGTAAGTGACTGTTCTTTTTTTTTTCTCAATGAAATTGACAGTCTAAATTCACCGGCAGTTTTAACATTCCCCCCCGGTTAAATTGTATGTTGTTGTCAAGCAGCTTAGCTATATAATAATAATAATAATTTGCTTTATTCCAAAACAGTACTCATGATACGGAGTGGTATTCACAGCATTTTTACTACAGTATTGCATCCAGTTAGTACATTATCAATAAAAAGAATTCTACATAGATTAATGTAATCTCAGTTCATTATGACAACAACATATTGGGATGTCGGTAGCAAATACAAAGCTGAACAGTGTTTGAAGGTGTTAGAAAAGTAGGTGCTGTCATATTTACTGGCGTAAGCGAGAGAAAGAAACAAAGCAGCACATAACGAAAAAAAAGTGAGAGAAAGAGAGAAAAGGAAAAGAAAGAAAGAAAATGTTGTACCTATAAATGATATGAGCTGGAAAGACAAGGTCCAGTTGTACTACTGACTATTTAATGAATTATAGGTGTCACGCCTAGTGCTTTCTTTATCGCACAGAACACGAGCTAAGTAGGGTATGGTTGAGTTTTTGTACTTGCTGGTGCGAGCATATAGTTTTCTATATAGGCTTCTGGCTTTGCCTGATGAGATGCAAGGGGAGAGTTGTGAGTGAAGAGGGTGATGTGAGTTAGATAAAATGGATTTGGCCCATTTTTCACATGAGTCCATGTGCCTGTCAACAAGAATATTAACAAGCTGGTTAAGTCGCACTTTGCTTACCCTGCTGAAAACCTTTAACATACTGCATAATATGTTATAGTCTTTCTTCAGTAGCCCGGGAAAAACTAAGGGAGAACAATAGAGAATAATAGGCAGAATGCGGGAGTTAACTAATTGTAGGAGTAAGGGTTGGGTTATACCAGAATTTTTTAACTTCTTGATGTAGAAGGTGAGAAGAAATATTTTCTTAGATATCGTCAAGATATGAGACGACCAGGAGAGATCAGCAGATAGAATGACGCCTAGGTATTTGATTTCCGACTTGGTTTCTATTTCAGTGCCATCTATGTTGCATACCTCGTGAGAGCTAACCAGTTTGTTTAGGTCAGATTTATGCCTAAAGGTGAAGTTGACTGTTTGGCATTTGGAGGGGTTTAGGGTAAGACCGTTTTCCTTGGACCACTGGCTGATTTCTGACAGAAAGCCATTGAGTTTAGAGCAGTCACTTTGACATTTGACAGGCAAAGATACTGTCAGGTCGTCAGCATATTTCCGTCTGGTAGTAGCAGAACAATACTGGTTTCAATATAAAGGATAAATACCAACAATCATAACAACCCAACCACTAATTGTCTTTTCAATCGTTGTCAACCTTTTGACAGGGAACCGATCCAATGGCCAGCCAGGCCATGAATTCTAACTTCTGCCAATTCACGTATGACATAGCGCACCTCGCAGTGTCTTCTGCTTCGATGAGTTACTGCCTCATCTTCAACCTGCTGTACCCTACTGGTCATGGCTTCCCACTACAATCCCAGGTCACTGCCTGAATAGAGCCAGTCGCTAGTGGACGTCAGATTAATTCCAAGTATTGGCTTTGTAGGGATCTTGTTTGTTTGATTGGATGGGGGATTTCATCATGAGGTGACATCAATTACAGAACCACTGGAAAACCACAGTCACTCTGATTAATGATGCGTAGACATTCCATTGAATCTTAACTCATGTCCTGTCAGTTGTGAAGCTCGTCACTTTTAATCGATAAATTATGAAATTAGAGCATTTTTCATATATTTGCCAATTTTAGACAGTTATCCGTTGTGAAGTTTGCCGATTAGTACTCAAATGTGTGTGTGCATTGTTATTTATGTCAAAATTCAGTATTATTATTATTGTTGTGTCAGTATGTGTTGTAAAAGAGGAAGATTCGATGCAGTCTATCATTTTCAAATTTAGAATCGTAGGTTTGTCTCCCTCATTGGGTTACTCTCCATTATTCTGTTCTATTATTTTGTAATTCCCTTGGGTACCAAGTGGAACATAGGGCTTCAACAACACATCGCCACTTTCTTCTGTTTTCCTCCATCTTCTTCAGCTGGGTCTTCTCTTCGCCACACGACCTCCTGCATGTCACCCTCGCGTTGATGACCTACCCGTCGCTTCCCACTAGGATCCCACTCGAGCGATGACCCGGTGTGCGATGTCATTCAATGGCCTCTTCAGCGTATGCCCTATCCGTCTCCATTTTCCTACAATTGTTGAGCAATGGGCTCTTGTTTGGTTTGTTCCTAGCCAGAGTTCCTTGTTGCTAATTCTTTTGGGCCAGCTAGGCATTTGTTCTTCAGTATGGAGCCAGCGAATGCAGCTTCTGACGAAAGTCTGTAACTTGTTGGAAATCCTTTTCGTGACACGCTAGCCAAGTTTCTGACTACTATCGAAGGACCTTCTTGACATTGGTGTTGAGCAGAATCCGAATCTTGTTCTTTATCCTGAGTGTATAAGATTTCCAAACTGGTTTCAGGTTGATGAAGGCGTATCTTGCCTTACTGGTTCTGTCTGGCTTTGACATTTTCATTCGTTCCAACTAGCTTGTGGTTGAAATGATACTTCCTAGATAAGTGAAGGAGGCAACCTCTGTTAAATCTCTCCCGTTGATGATGATTGGTGCTGGTTGTTGTTGTTGCGGTTCGTTGGTTATCTTCATCACCTCCGCCTTCTCTATGTTCACCTGCAGTCCTGTCTTCGCTACCAGCATCTTCTGCCAGTTTGTTAGTTTTCGCCTGTAAGTCTTCGAGTTTGTGTGACATAAGACATATATCATCTGCGAAATCCAGATCTTCTAGAGTCTTCTTATCGGTGGTCCAGCGTATTCCTGCCTCCTCGCACCCAACGCACAGTCTGACACATAATCCAGTCCACCACAATTAAGAATATCATCGGTGGTAATAGGCAAACAGCTTTGTCTTACTCCTGTATTCACTTCGAACGCCTCTCTGATGAGTTTTCCGGTGTGGATCACCTGACTGACATGTGGCATTGTCAAACAGCCCTGTTGAATGAGGTTGATAAAGACTTGAGGTACACTGTAGTCATTCATATCTCCATTCATCTCTGAATATCTCAGTGATGTAAGCTGGATTTTTTTTGCAATGTTGAATAATGCTAGTTACCTGGGAATGGAAATATTAACAGTAAAATTGCAAGTTATTAAGATACATAACCATCAACAGCAAGCATTGATCACCACCATCGGGCGAAATCTAAGGGAAGTCGCGTCTTTCACTTACCTAAAATACATCATTTCAACTATTGCAGATGGCACAGGTGTGAATGTCTAAGCCCCGCCCTCCCTACTAGGATTGGAAAAGCAATTTAGATCTTCCTTGCTCTGAAATCCGTTTGCAAATCTGCTGCACTCAACGTGAAGATCAAAATTCGGATTTCCAACACTTATATCAAGGAAATCTGTGCTTCTGTATAGTTCAGAGACGACTTGGGGCGTCATCAACAATATTTCAAACAGGTTCCTAAAGATGTTCCATCAACAGCTGCCTTCGCTCCATACTGAAGATCAGATAACAGGCAGGCAGAAGGTATAGTAGATGGTATAAACATACACTGAGGACACCTTTGAGAGGAATCACACGTCACTCTTTCGGGTGTAACCCGAATGTGGAATGACGAGTTGGGCGTCCAAAGCTGACACACAGGTGATTGTGTTAGGAATGAATGAACGCTTATGGGTTAGTGGTGAAGCCAAACTAGAAAGGATTGCAGAGAATACGGTGAAATAGAGATGCTCTACTGAAGCTGTATGTTCCGCTCGGAACCCGAGGGAATAATGAGAAATTCGGAACGATTATTAAAACCACACGTATAGTGATGCGTAAAATCCGAAAACCCAGGATTGGTCTAAAATATGGTACTATATTAAACATTAAATGTGAAATATAATATACAAACCTCAATCGTGAAGTGTTTGTGCCTGAATGCCGTCAAAAAACAGTCAACGTGCGTCAATAAGTAAAAACATCAGAGCTGAGTCAAAGGTGATCCACGTGTTATTCAAACAGCGCGCGAATGCCAGTAATACGGATAAACAATGCTCAAACGTAAAGGGTACATGAATAACGCATATACGAATAATGTTCGATTATAAGAAAATTATTATGCATCTAATAGATCATTTATGCATCGAGTGAGATAAACTTCAACAGCAAATAAATACATGGTTAAGAATTAACAAATATAAGTTACACTACTTACCAGAAATAAGTAGTATAAATTTTAACACAAAAGAAGGAAGGACATAAAAGGGAAATAGGAAAGGAATTAACAAATACTGTAGATACTGTGATTATTTCTGTGCATGTAAGCAACCAGTCATGGGAATACAATAATTTATTTGTGAAGTTGCAAAAAAGTTACTTCATTTCCTTAAGACTTTATGTGCCCTAAGCTCCCTCACCCTGCGACTTTCTTTTTATTGGGGGTTAAATTCGAATTTACTCACTCGTAGGCAAATATATATATATAATTAATTATTGCATATTTCTCTACATTGTATATTTGATATTTTTGAAATAGGGTTATGATATGGAAGATGCTATGGTGATTAATAAAGCATCATATGATCGTGGATTAGCTGGTGCATGTATATATAAATCAGAAGTAATTGACCTTTCAACACTTACCAAGTCAACATCTTCAAGTAATCCTTTTCAAAAGAAGAAATCATCAATCGCTGAACACTATTTTGGTAAGTTACGTGTTTTTCACGCTCTCCGACCATGCACATGGTCCGGGGTTCGATCCCCGGCCACCGACGCACTCCTTTACCTCGCTAAGCCAGAAATAATGCTGGTGAAGAGGGGAAAGGTTGGGCATGAGGCTAGCAACTCCATCCCGTAAAGTTAAACACACTGCTACAGAAACTGCAAAGCACTAGCTTGAAGCCCTATGTTCCACTGGGGAACGTGAAGGGAAAAAACGTGTTTTCCAAGTATATACTGCTGTATAGTCTGTTTATTTTCTTTTGATTGTCAATAGTGTAATTCATAAGTAAAAACACATTTTTTGTTCAGCGAAGAAATTTCTTTTCAACGACTTCATTTTCAAGCTGTACAGTCGTATTTATATTACAGAAAAGGTTATTAAGTGGCACTAAATAATTGCTCAGTCAATATACATATATATATGTGATAAGAATAACGATAATTAAAATGTTATAAGGGGTAGAGTTGAAGTGGATAAATTACAAAATTATTAAAGATTGTTTTATAAGTGAATTGAAATCAAAAATGTTTTAAAAATGTCAAGTGTTGTCTAAAAATTTTAAAAAATTAGGAGTACGATTACGATAAGAATGAAGATGTGAAGTGAAGTGGAAAGAATTCAAGTGGTAAAATAAAATAAAGTAAAAACTAGAAAGAACATTACTATGACCAAGGTAAAGAAAGGGGTTTGACAAAACGTTTTTGAACACATAATTTAGGTTTCTGTTCATGTATAGCTAAAGCTTCGGCTATGCATAAGTGAAGAAAACGTAAACTTTTGGAGCGATTCGATTTTGCCATGTAGATAACTTTGAAAGATGAATCACGTGGGGCTAAATGACCTGACTCTAACAGGTGATCACAGATAGACGACTTCGCAGTTCTACGTTCGCCTTTCATTAACCAGACTGGATAGTGTTCAGCTACACGTTTTCGGAGATTACGCTTACAACGTCCAATATAAACAGCTCCACAAGAGCAGGTAAAAGAGTAAATACACATAGATGTGGACAAAAGCGGTAATCTATCCTTGACGCATTGTCTAATCATATTTCGGCTGGTAAAAACTAGTTGCAAGTCAGCTGCAGGAAAAGTGCGTTTAATACATTTAGATAAACGATTTTTAATCAATTCCGAAATGGTGTCACCTTTGAATGCCAGACTCATAAACAGTTTCTTCTTTGGCACTGTAATTTGTCTAGGGGCGGATTCTTTCTTGATGTTACGTTCGAACGTGAGGATAAGCTTCCACTGGGGCCTCGTCTATGTGCATCTACCAATTCACCTGCTCATGTGGAGCTAGGTATGTCGGCCGTACCCAGCGTTTCCTATCCAAACGAATCAGCGAACACTTACCTTCATGGTTTTATAAAGGAGAAAGAAGATCCCCCCGCCACAGCTCTATCCTAGAACACTTGATCGAATCCGGACACCAAGCAAACCCACAAAACAACTTCTCAGTTATCTACACAATACGTGGGAACCTTGCCAAAAGAGTACGAATTAAACTTCTTCAAATTGCAGAAGCAATGGTAATTCACACATTGAAACCTGAACTCAGCATACAAAAGAAGCTTGTTCAGTCACTAAATCTACAATGGTCCTAATCTATCTTAACACAAATTCGTAATTTTGTCTTACCTCTTTCTTCTTTGTTTGTCTGTTTCTTAATTGCATTATTTTCTACCCCCACACTCTATTAAATCTCTACCCTCATGACGACTGTTGCTAACTCCATTTTCGTTTATTTTTAAGTGAATTCTACTCAGCTTATTAACTTGACTCTCATTCATTTTTCATTGAACCCTATCAATTAGATTACGCCACCCAACCTACTTTTGTAACTTTATTTTAGTTTCTAACCGATTAACGCCTTCTAAATTACGTAATTTGTTGTCAAAAATTAACAATTGCATTAACACATCTTCGGAAATATTCCTTTTGTTGCCAAGAAAAATTACTATAAATTTGCGGTTTGTGCAGCTTGAGAATGATATCGCCGAAAAGAGTAACTCTTTGCTGAACGCCTTTTCTTTTCTATGACTGAATGGGAATTTTCAAATTGTTGAATGATGTGTCCAACCAATGGTTGATTGTCACGAACTCGCCTCGTAACCTGGAAGTCCTGAGTTTGATTCGCAGTGTGAGGTTATGCGTGAGCACTGGTGTAGTTCGAGACTGGAACGTTTTCAGTGGTTTTCTAACTGATGTGATCTAACTTTTTTTTTAAAAAAAACTTTGACTTTACAGAAGTGAATGGCCGTGTAAAGGCTCATTCGTGTAAATCGACACTTGAATATATGAGAGTTGATTTTTTTTATTGCTTATCACAGGTTTTGCTGGTGATGTCGCCAATAAAGGCCTTGATATAGACGGTTTCCCACCGATTGGTAGTCGTTTAGAGCCTGGTGTCAGTTGGTTGTATGCCTATACGCATAGTGAAACGCAAAAAACTACTTTGGTAAAATATGAAGGCGGTGAACAAATCGCCTATGTGGATTCAATAACCCTCAATGGATCATGGAGTTCTGTAGGTCAATTGATTTTTTTCAATGTTGTTGTTGTGTAGATTCATTCGTTTACTGTCATTTCTTGTTTAGCTTGTTAAAAAAAACTTCATTGATTTTCTAGAGTAGTTCTTGACGCAGACAACTGTCTGGTTTCACAAAGAGCATATTAGTTTCTAAGCGATTAGGTTAAAGTTCAGTGAAACTATGTTTTTTTTCCAATTCCGATGAGATCTCCAGATAGTCTGTCTTCAAATTTAAAACAAGCAACAAAAAGGTGTTAATAAAACAGGATTCAATGATATAAGTATGAAAATTGGGCACTGTGGTGGTAGAGTACAACTCCATTATAGATAGATTAGATTTTATTTTGATAAATCACACAGTGTTGTAGTTATACAGTAATATTAACTGATGACCACCTTTCGAGCACAAATTATTACTGCTCATAATCATATCAAGTCACTCACACAACTTGCGTGCTTCATTTATAAACATGAGTGAAATTGATGATTAGGCACTTGAATAAAACCAATATAAGATAATATACATTAGGAAATAATATTAGTGTTATCAATCAAATACCTTGCAATGACTGTGAGGTCAACTACACAGGTCAAACTAGTAGATCAGGAGTAGTGAGATTATCAGAACATAAGAATTTAGCTAAGGTTAGAATGGTTGACCCCGAGAAGATAAGTAATTTAGAAAAAAGCTCAGCAATTGCACTGCATACATTAACACACAACTACACAATTGGGTGGGAGAGGGTTAAAATTCTAAGAAGTAATATAAGTAGGTGGAGGGAAAGAGAGATTGATTACTGAATCCTGGTTCATCGAATAATCTACACCCAACACATGCAACAGAAATGACTCAGTGCAAATACCAGAGATATGGAAGATATTATTACCACCAGTCAGTCAAATCAGAGGAGGATAATAAATAATCTTCAATGTATTCTATTTCAATTCAATTCACATACATCATAACATTCTAACAAGTTACTTATTTATTTTGACTATAAAAACACTCGTCTTATTTCCCATCTGATTGTATTTGATTGATAACACTCATATTATTATTTCTGAATGTATATTTTCCCATATTGATTTTACTCAAATGTCTCATCAATTTCACTGATATTCAAGTGTTGGTTTGTAGGGATTTTATTGGTTACAGCATTTTCATCATGATGTGACATTAGTTAGAGAACCATTGGTCGAGTGTGAGGACAAATACTCGCCGAAGACATTGGCTAGGGGTCGCGCTATGTCGTGAATTGGCAGAAGTTAGAATTCATGGGCGATGGACCAGGTCCCAGTGGCTTAATGGTATACGAGCTCGCCTTGTAACCAGAAGGTCCTGGGTTCGAATCCCGGTGGGGGCGTACTGATGAAGAGCCCCAAACTAGGACGAAACAGCTGTCCAGTACTCCCAGGTTTTCCAATGGTTCTCTAACTAATGTCAGCTCATGATGAAAATCCTGTAACCAATTTCACTCATGTATATAAATGAAGTAAAAAGTTGTGTGAGTGAGTGACTTGTTTTGATTATGAGCAGTAATAATTTGTGCTCGAATGTTGGTCATCAGTTAATATTACTGTAGAACAACGCTGTGTGGCTTTATGAAAATAAAATTTTATCCACGATTCAATGAATTCATCAAATATCGGTTGAACTACTCTCTACATACAGGAATATAAAATTACATAGTTCAATTGCATCACTTAAGTAAACAATTAGTTAGTCATCAGTGATTGAAAGAACTTGAATATATCAAGAATTTAGAACTAAATAAAAATGATTATAATAGTAACGCTAATAATGGTAATAATAAAAGACAGTTTCAAATGAATTAGAAATAGTGGTAATGAAAGATAGAATAAAAGTACTAGTAATAATAATGACAGTTAATATATAAAACATATTGCCACCATTTCCTTTTGTACACACAGGCGTAGTTTATAAACTCTAATTGCACAAGCCTCCGCAATTGCTAGCATCTTCCTGTTTTGTTTGTCTACTGATGAGAACAGTGAATGAATTTGACAGTGACAGTATCATGTCTGCGGTCCAAAAGACGAACTTTCACTTCAGCTGTTTACAACCACCTTTGACAAATGCCATATGGAGTAGACAATCGCCTTTCTGTACGACCTATGTATTTGCTTCCACAAACACACTCAAATTGATATACGCAGTTTGAAGTGTCGAGGATTGGCGACTGGTCTTTCCCAGATTGTTGAAGCATCTGCTTGGCGGTGTTAAGGAATACGAGTTTTGCAGCATAATAAGTTCTCTTGGTAGATTTATCGAGTCTTTGTCTGAATACTTCTTGTACGTCATTTCCTATAAATGGGAACTGTTTAGATAGCATTACTGGAGCTCATTTCTTTAGAGTATTTACTGATGAACTGCTCAGGATATCCATTCTTAGATACAAATATCCTTGAGAGTCTTTACTTCATGTTCAGTTGCACTGTCAGAACAAATTTTCCGTGCTCTATTGAACAGTGTTCTGACTAAGTTCTTTTTATATTGGATTGGAACAAAACTCTTAAAATGTATGTACTGTCCGGTTAGTCCATGAAGACTTTCTAAATGTAGATCTTTCCACTATACCATCAGTCCTTTTCACTAAATAAACATCTAGAAATTTGAAGGGATCATTTTCCTCGTGTTCTGTTGTAAAGTTAAGATTCAGATGGCATGAGTGGAATTTTGTCAATAGGTCTTTAGCTTTTCATTTCCTTTCACCGACAATAAAAATATCCCATATTAGATAAGATTGTTTTAAATATCACACAGTGATGGTGCAGTATGAACAACTGGATGACAAGGTTTCGAGCATGAATTATTGCTCATTATCAATATCAGTTTAGTCACACGGTTCCATACTGTTATGTATATATTCCCATTCTCTCCTAAGTTGTTTAACTTAACAGGCTCTATAATGGTTCTACATCTAGCTAAATTTTCATGTTCCAATAGTCTAACTGAACCCATTGACATGAAAAGACTAGTTAGGTGAGAAGGGGAAATCAATAGACGAGGCCGTAAAGCTACATCGATGGAGACACCTAAGACGTATGCCTAGCCATCGCCTTCCTCGACCAACGGACAATGTCAGCTGACTGACATAGGATGGATTGATCAATTTAGAAAAGAGCTGCTAGTGGTGGTCAAACCAAAACATGGCTTCATCAATCAATCAATGGAATCCATAACAATTAGTTTAAGCCAGTCACGTTGGGAGATGTCGACTACCTAACTTGTTGGGGTACTCGGGATGGTAAACACCAGTGGCTGGAGACAATTAGTGATATGGCTCGGAATCTTCGTTCTCAATGGCTGGCGCAGATGCATCCACTCCTTGTGACTTATAATACCCAATGAAACTATATTGTTCTTCGATATTACTATTCTTTTTGTCTCATATCTCTATTTTGAATCCCTCTTTATTTTCTTCTCTTGCTTTCTGTGCTACATGGAGGGAGTGTGGCAACTCGAACTGGTGCACATCGGTGCAAAGTTCTACATTGAAACCAGTCAGTCAGTCTAATATACCCCGATCTTCTAGTTTGATCTACGTAACTGATGTCACTAACAGTCATTACATTGTATCTGGTAAATTTTATTATTTATCTTAATTGTACATATTGGTTCCATAAACCGACAAAGTTTATGTGCTACCCTAATTCTAGCCTCATTGAGAATCCTGCATAAGGCCTCTGACGTTCCTTCTTTATACAGCAGTATTACAGAGGTTTTGAATTCCACATTATTTTCTTCGTTATTTAAAATAAACTTATCTAATATGGAATTATATTCTACCACAGTGCCCAAATTCTACACTTACAATAATAAAAATATCTTCAACATATCTTAGGTATAATTCTATTTATTGTATATGCTGTTGTAAAATACCAGCTTTCGAGGCTTGACAAGAATAAATTCGCAAAAAGTGATCTTCGAATTGATCACTCTAGGTGACTGTGGTGTAATTTGTATTTGTTTTTACGAGTGTGACCACGGATTGATATCAGTTAGAGAACTATTGTAAACCAGGGAGTACTGGACAGCTGTTTCTTCCTCCCTAGTTTGGGAATCATCGGCAGTACGCACCCACCACAGTCGGGTCCGAATCTAGGACCTTCCGGTTACAAGGTAGGCCATTGCGACCCAATTCAATGGCGCCCATGAATTCTAACTTCTACGAATTCGTGATTTAGCGCAACCACCAACCAATGTCATCGGTGGGAAATCCATCCTCACACTTGACTGGTTTTGGCCTCACTGGTCACGACTTCTCACTAGAGGGTTTTCCGAAATAAAAACAAAACAGGTATCGTTCTTCATCCCTCTCTTTTCCTTTTCATTAGTTCTCTATTGGTTCATGTTGTTATTGCCTAACTGTCAATCTTTACTTCCCTTCCTTTTTTTCCACTCACTTTAGGCTACAATAACACTTCGTTTGCCCAGACCACCAGATATCGGGGATAAGTATAGTAGTCGTCATGGTCAAAAAGGCATTAACAGTTTGTTAATTCAATGTGAAGAAATGCCTTGGTCAACTACAAATGGTCTTATTCCTGATTTAATCTTTAATCCACACGGTTTTCCAACACGTATGACAATGGGAATGATGATTGAATTTTTAGCTGGCAAGTCGGCTGCACTTACAGGTGGGTGATTAATTGCAGGGTGTTTTTTTTAAATTATTGATTATTCGTTTATCACTGCTAATGTTATGGTATGATTTATTTTGAAATTTTTCTATGCTGAATTCAGAACAAGAAGCAACAAGTATATAATTGTTATTAATATCGGAGTGGATGTGTTCCTCAAGTTGGGTGGTTTTGTTTGCGAAACTTTCATTTTCTGCATGAAACTATATATACTACTGATTGATTGAGTGAGATAAGTAGTTGTATACCATTCACATGAATCATTCGTATGCTTCGGTGGTTCAGTGGTCAAGTGTTCGCCAACCACGCACGAGATTTGGGTTCGATTCTTGGGCCAACACACTCCTATGCTTCGCTTAGTGCATAGTAAGCCTGGTAAAGCGAGAAGGTTGAGCTACTGTGAGGCTAGCAACCTCACCCAGTAAACGACAAAGTCACCGCTACTAAAACTCCCAAGCTAAAGATTCAGGCCGCTGGAAACACAAAGGCATTACATAAGTAATAATAAACCGATCAGTTGTGTTCGCTAGCCAGCTCATTGCATGTCGTTTATATACAGATAGATTATAGAATTTGTGAGGATTTTGAATTAATTTCAATTGTCAAATTTTTTTCATGAACCAGCATCAGTTAGAGAGATCATTGAGAACCAAAAGGGTACTGGATTGGATGTGTCGTCCTACTTTGAGAATCCTTTGCAAGTGCGCACCCACCACCACTCGACGTGGGGATCAAACTCCAGGACCTCCAAGTTACAAAACCACTCTCTTGTTGAACATTTAACCACTTGGGCTAGAATTCAGTGGCCTGTGAATTCTGATTTTTTCAACTCGTGCTATAATGGTGCCCTCACCAATGTCTCTTCGATAAACATCCATCCCACCCTGACGTAGTGGAAACCAATTGTCACGACTTCCGACTGCAACTTTACGAAATCCATCCAGTAGCCATCGGTGAACTGGCGATTGGTATTCAGGTTATACAATTTGTAGGGATTCTGGATTAATTCCAATTGTTTAAATGCATTGCGTCATTAAGTCACAATAAATAATTCATTGCAATGCTAGTCATACTACATAGAACTGAGTAGAATGGGGATGTGTCAATAAAGGTCTGTTTTCCACAAAAAGATTTTGTTATGAGTACAAAAACCTCAAATGCGACAGTAAACTTTTCTTGACAAAGGAGCACAGAGAAGAAATAAAAAACTGATAATCGCAAAGCCGGATAAAGGATCAGGATTAGTCCTCCTTGATAAAAGTGACTATATTAAAAAGATGAATGATATATTGAAGGACACACAGAAGTTTCAAAAACTTCAGAAGAAGAAAGATCTCAATAACAAAAAGGAGAATGAATTAATTAACCAGACGTTTGAAGGAACTAAGGGAGGATAAGATATTTTCTGAAAGTTTATATGAAGAAATCAGACCAACGGGCACATATACGCCAAGATTGTATGGCCTGCCTTAAGTGCATAAACCAGGGGTACCGTTAAGACCAATACTTGATATGCGAAATTCGCCCTACCATGCTATAGCCTTTGCACTAGAAGATAGTGAAACAGAGCGTCAAAGATATATTTGAATTCGTAGACAAAATAAAAGATATTAATATCAAGGACAAAATCATGATATCTCTGGACATAACATCTTTATTCACAAATGTATTTCTAGTAGAAACAGTTAACTACATATATGAACAAGTGGGTAACCACTTGATAAACATTGGCATCCGTACTGAAATCCTAAAAGAATTGATATTAAGATGCACAATGAATGTAAACTTCAAATTTGACGGCACACTTTACAGACAAGTGGACGGGGTGGCCATGGGCTCTCCATTGGGTCCCATTTTACCTAATTTCTTTCTAAGTAAGCTAGAAAATGGACTTTTGAACAACCTTATCAGTAAGCTCTCATTTTATTGCCGGTATATGGATGATACCTTCATTCTTTATGATAATGATTCGGGTAGGAGTAAAATAATTACTGAATTCAATGAAGTTCATTCGGCCATGAAATTCGCGTGCGAAGAGAATTGCCTTCCTTCTTACAAGAAAGCCAGATGGTAGCATAAAAAGAAATTTACATTGAAAAAGTACTTAGACAGGACAATAAACACATTTTCACAGCTTCGTTGCTCTCCAGTAAAAAAAATTTAGTAAAGACCCTCAGCCACAGAGTTAGAGCTATATGCTCAGAAGAAGTATTTGAAGACGAACTAAGCATTGTATAATATACTTTGATCGGAAATAGCTATCCCGAAAAATTTATCAATAAACAGACAAAGAAAGCGGAAAAGGAATACTCACTATCTGTAAACAAGAAGCCTCTTTATATACGACTGCAATTCAAGGGGGATAGACCAAGTAAGATAATAACGAGGAAATTAAGGAAAGCAGTTCAAAGAACTTTTAAGGCTGACGAACCACACGACCGATGATGATTCCTCGACTGGAAGATGAAGTACCTAGACTAGCTAGCCACTTCCAATTGTATTTACCAATTCCACTGCGCTTGTGGAGCGAATTGCTTTAGGCCGTTGCTGTAGAAACTTGATTTTTTGTGCTCGAGAACATCTCCCACTATGGCTAAGTAAAGGTGTTGTGAAAACCATTAACAGTTTGATATTGGACCATCTGGTGCAAACCGGTCACAAAGCCAGCGTAGAAGAATCCTTCTCTATAATATACCGGGTGCCTAATAAATTGCCAAAATCATCGAAGCACCGCATGCTCCAAACAGCAGAGGCTATTGCAATTCGCCTCAAACAACCAGTGCTCTGTGTCCAAAAAAAAAACAAAAAACAAGTCCAACTACTACTACTGCCCTTCAGTAGAGACCATAAATTCATGAATTTGTAATATTATCTTTCCTAATTTTTCTGATATTCAGCTTATTTTATGTTGATGCTATTGAGATGTAATCCATCGATATTATTGATTCGTTGTTATTGAAACAACATTAAAGTTGTTCATAACACTCATTCACTATAATGTACATATAACTGTAGAGCCTGATGATGAAGGGGTTATCGAAAAGAGTATTCTTTCTTCAGTATCCATTCTTTTGAAAATCATCTAATTGTCTGTTATTTTTCCTTCAGGTACACGAGTTGATGCAACTCCATTCCAATGGTCAGAAGATTCACCACCTTATGAAGATTATTGTCGTATACTAACTGATTGTGGCTTCAATCATTGGGGTACAGAGACAATGATGTCTGGATCAACTGGACGTCAATTAGAAGCACAAATTTATATTGGTGTAGTTTATTATCAACGTTTAAGACACATGGTAGCTGATAAATACCAGGTAGGCAGCCATTATTGCACACTGTCTGTTCTAAATAGTGTATTTTCCGTTGATATTTTTAGCCTAGAAAAACAATGATGTTCTGTTTTTTCAAGTTAAATTGATTATCTGTTATTGAGACACAAATTTGGTGCATTGTAGGCACCAAAAGATGCTACACACAAAATTGCATAGATTGCGCTGCAGCTGGGGGATACTCTCCGGACGTCCAGATTGAAGTAGGTGGTTGTCTTAAAGCGATGGCAAACTAAAAGTAAAATTAAAAAAGAAAAATATTTTTTACAGAGAACGACTAGTGAATAGGTTAAGACCAAAGTAGAATAAGAGAGTGGACAAACTTTTTCTGTATACAGATTTCGGGGTTGTATTAACGAATCGCCAACGCCTCCACCATACACAAAAGCCGAAACCTGACACCCTTTGTACCATTTGGCCTCACCTTGTAGATGACCTTGAAAGATGACTCTGGTGGAGCTGTGTGGCTTGAGTTCACCAAGTGCTCGAGAATTGAGTTAGTAATTGTCTTGCATTGTCCTTTTGCTAACCAACTATGTCCGATAATGTTCAGAGTAGAGAGTACGAAATTACGTAAGAGTTCTAAATGAATACAAGAATTATAAGCAATTAAAAGAACCAGGCAAACAAACAAAATTAAGTCATCAAAATCAACAAAGTTCTTACCATGACAGTAAAAGTGGTTGAGTAATTCTCTTTTTTATGCACAGCTCCGGTTTTTCTATGTGAATGGCCAGAACTTCAGCGATACCAAAAATGCGAAACCGTATTGCCTTTGGTAGGTTATTCTTGACTCTGTAGATTACTTTGAAGGAGGCGTTTGTTGAGATGGAATGATCAGTGTTAACCAGGTGTCCAATTATCGCACTCCTTATTGCACCGTTATTGCCTTTTCGCAACCATGCTGGATAGTGTTCTTGAATCCTCTTGGACAGGATGCGCGTCGAACGACCGATGTACCTAGCTGGCTCCACAGCAGCAGGTGAACTGATATATGCAAATAGAAGTGGTCAGATGCAGGATCTTGTCCTTGAGGCTTCTGCAGACCAGTGGGCGACTGGAGAACACTATTCTTATCGTTGCTGCAAAGAATGTTCTTCTCAGAGATTATGTGATCCTTCTCTTGGGAATAATGCTTGCTAAATCTCCCTTGAAATCCAGGTTCATGTATAGTTTCTTTTTAAGAGTGCAAGTGAAGTTTCATTTCTCCGAATTCTTGGTTTGATATTTTTGTCAATGAATCTTGATGGGTATCTATTTTGAATGAAGATTTCTCTCAGAATATCTAATTCTGTTTCTAGAAAGTCAGGACTACAGATGCGTCGGATGCGAGTGGCAAGTGATTTAACTAAATTCCGCTTTTGTTGAATGGGTACCCAGCTATAGAAGCTTGTTAGTTGACCATTCCAAGTAGGTTTTCTAGGCTCCCTTCAGTTCTTTTTGTTAGTTCCACATCAAGAAACGGAATTTTTGACTCGTTTTCCACTACAAGAGTGAATGTTATTGCTGGCTGGCAACAGTTAAATGTCTTCAGCAGTAGATTCGAGTCATTTTTGTTGTCACAAATAATGAATATGTCGTCTAAGTGTCTTTTTTATACATTCGTAAATTTTCAGTGCTCGGCTTTAGTGGACCTTTCTCGAGACTTGCCACGAAGCAATCTGA